GGAGCAGCTGGTACTTGGTGATGCGCTGCACGGGCTTGAGCAGGTACGCGGCGAGGGGCAGCTTGTGGCCCAGCTTCATCTGGCACGCCTGGAAGAAGAGGGCGGCCTCGGGCACCGCGTCGCGAAGCGCCTCGGACCGGGGGATGTTCTGGCAGTACGCGCTGTACAGCTGGAACAGCTGCTCGCGGCACTGCGTGAAGCACAGCGCCACCAGCTCGGCCGCCGAGCCCACCTGCATCACGCAGTTCTGCAGGTCTGGCAGGAACACGTCGGCGTGGAAGGCGTGAATCTCCTCCAGGTTGCCGAACAGGATGTTGGACTTGCCCTGCAGCTGCGCAGGGATCATCGTCTGGTACTTGTCGTTCTCCAGCTCGTGCTTGTAGCCGCGTATGATGGCGCCCAGCTCCGACACGTAGGCCTGCTCCGTCGTCACCAGCTCGGTCAGTACGTGACCCTGCTTCGAGTCGCCCTCACACATTGAGCGCGGCCGCACAGAGGTGGCCGACGTGCCGCGGATGATGAGGTCGGGGGAGGGCGACGGCGAGGGCGCGGGCGACGGCGCGGCGGACAGCGGCGCGGGCTTGGGGTGCAGCCGGTGCAGGAACAACAACTGCTTCTCGACGAGGGCGCGCACGTCGGCGAGGCGCTGCACGGCCTGTGCCACGGCGGCCCGGGTCTCCACCGTCGTCACCTTGGCGTCCTGCAGCAGGGGGTGGAAGTCGCGGGGCGAGGCGGCCTGCAAGTCGCGCCCGTTGGCCAGGAAGGCCTCCAGCTGCTGCACCAGCTGGTCCACGCGCTCGGGCGGGCAGGACGCGCGGTCCAGCGAGGCGGCGGGGTGCAGCGCCAGCAGCTCCAGGCCGCCGGTGCACCAGTCGGCGGCGTGCTTGAGCCGCTCCTGCACGGCGCGGTACTGCTGCACGAGGGCCTCCTTGTCCTCGATCTGACGCGCCAGCTCCAGGCAGCGCTCCTGCAGGTCCTCGCAGGAGGGCCGCACCTGGTCCAGGCCCTCGTTCTGGTTCACGTAGTGGCGCGCGGCCGCCAGCTGCTGCCCGGTGCGGATCAGGTCCTCGGCGCGCTCCACGTCCGCCGTGCAGCGCTCTCGCAGCGCGGCCAGGCGCGCCGCCACGGCGTCCACGCCCTCCACGGACTCGGCCGCGTGCGGGTGGTCCGCCACGGCGTCCACGTGCTGCGCCAGGCGCCCCGACAGCTCCACCAGCCCGCGCTCGAACGTGTACAGCTCCATGAGCTGCTTGAGGCGGGCCGAGTGCTGCTGCCAGAAGTCGTCGAACGTGCGCTCCGTCTCTTCGAGCTGCACCAGCAGCCGCTCCACGCTGGTCACGCTGTCCAGGCTGGCGCGCTCCTTGGGCGAGGCGCCGGGCCGGCGGATGTCCCGCAGCAGCAGCTCTCCGCAGCGCGCCGCGTCCAGGATGCCCTCCTTGAGCTCCAGGTACTGCTGGCCCTGCGCGTGCAGCTGTTCGCTCAGCCCCTCCACCGTGTCCGGCTCGGCCAGGTCGCTGACGCGGCGCGTGAAGCCGTCCAGGGCGGCGGACACGTCGCGGGTAGTGCGCGAGAACTGGTCCAGCGCCACGCGCTGCGCGATCCACTCCTCGTGGTTGTAGGCGATGTCGCCGCCCAGGTCGACGCTCAGCTCGCGGCGGTCCAGCACGGCGTGCAGCTCCTCCAGCGACCCGCACACCACGACGGGGAACTTGAACTCTTCGCGCGGCAGCAGCTGCCTGCTCACCTCGCTGATGGCCTTCTGGAGCAGGCCAGACGGCCGCAGGACGTACACGACGTGCACCAGGCCTGGGAACGCGGCCGACACCTGCAGCAGCACGCCCTTGACCGAGCTCCAGCGGTCACGCCGCCTGTCCACCACCAGCACGAAGCCGGCGTCCACCTCCTGCATGGAGGGCACCGACGTCAAGTACAGCGCCAGCCGCTGGAAGTCTTCGTCCGAGAGCACGGCCTGGGCGCCGGACCCTGGGAACGTCACGATGGGCTTGCCGTCGCGCGTGCGGCCGCCGGTCATCACGGCGAACTGGGTCCGCAGGAGGCCGAGCAGGCCCGCCACCTCCAGGCGCCCCGCGTCCTGAGCCGCCAGCCCCGCGCACACGCTGCCTCCGCCAGGAACAGGGCCCGGAGGGAGTCCCGCGACGGGGGCGGCGTGGGCGGCGGCCAAGGCCCCCACCTCCTGGTCCGCATCGCCGCTGGGGGTAGGGCTGGGACTCCGAGGAAGGGGTGGCTCAGACATACTGGCCCTGCGAGCCCTGCGGAGATAGACACAGCGTCAGGACATGGTGGACTGTGGACCCTCAATCGTGCACCCAAATCAGTCAACTTCCTGAACTGCCTGCAATGTCCCAAGAGGCGGCTTTGCAATGCGACGCACTTTCGTCAAAAGTGATTTTATCGCGACACGACTAAACCCTTTGGAACCCTTTGGGTCCAGCGGGCGCTCTGAGACTGGTGGCTGTCCCAACCTTCCCAACCCAGCTGGTCACGGCAGTCGTGGCGCGCCAGAGGTGCAAATTGCCCTTCACGTCAGCCGCCCTTCCGAAGGCTCGTTTCGTCGCCCTGTACGTCCCGCAGGCACCGCAGGCGTGCGAGAGAGAAAGAGCGACGAAAGGACCCTTCGGAATCAGGCGGAATCAGCTGAAAGGGACATAAGGCCTCCCTCCCTTTACCGTTGAGAGCAAAGCAGCTGGACCCATGGCGGTCTTTGTCTTCCCCTAGATTTTACGAGTTACGCTAAAATCAAGGCTACTCCGAGCTCACATTTACAAGCCACCGTTTCGGAATGCAGGCAGAAGATATTTGAACTGACCACCTTGATACAAATAAAACATGTCCAGATGAAAGAAAAAGAAAATCATAGCCAAAAGATTAACTAACACAAGCAACATTTGACATGTATTATGTTGCTTCATGTAAGAGAAACAATTTTTCATTCCAAAATCCCTTTCACCTGGGCATCTCATTTGTTGTTAGTAGATATGTTAATGGTAAAACATTAGAACAAGAAAATATAAGTACCACCAAAAGATTCAACTTAAGATAGTATAAATTTTAAAAAATGTATATTCATGTTGGGGAAACACTTACACTTTAAAAGGTGCCCTCTTCTTCCTGTCAATATTTCTCTTTGTCGACGCGTGTTCAGTTTTCATTCAATTCATTATTTGTTTCTTCCAATAACTCCCCACGGCGACGGGATAGTCATAAACTTACAATAGTGCCAAACTGAGAAAAATATTTGGCTTTCAACGGCAGGATTCAAATCAATATTATTGCTTTCACTAACACATATGAGAAAACACGAAACTTTGCTACAGATGCATTTCAAACAGCAAATAACCAAAGAAACTTTGCCCAAGGCATGTCTATCCTCTGTTTTGCTTGAAAAATGTATGGGCACAGCAACAGAGCTTGATGGTTTTCACACATATGTACAAAAAAAAAGCACTCGTAGTGAACCGGTCGACAAAGAGAAAACATGACCATCTGAAGAGTCCACTACAGCACTACATGCACACTGTCTCAAATACAAGAGAACCCAAACATCAGGTTCCAAGCACACACGCACAATCACTCTCTTTCTTTTTCTCTCTGACACAGCAGTACTGTGCGTATCAAGCAATTTCAATATCTTTTAAGATTTAAAAAAAAAAATGGATCTGTTTTGTAAGGTATAGTCTACTATATTGACAGCTATGAACAACCTCAATTTTAAAAAGGAACAAAAAAACAAACCATAAACCTGTAAAATTACTACTGAATATTTTTTTTTTAGCATGCTAGGAGGAACAAAAAACAAAAATTACAGAAACAATGCTTGCTAGATCTACACACAAAACTGCCATGAAAACCAACAATAGCCCTTTGCCATACCCAAATCTTTCATAACTACTGGTAAATTTGGCAATATGCAATTTTGAACATAATATAAGTAGCTGTTGGATAAGGTCGAATGTAAATGAATAATATCCGGCGAAAGACTTAACTGCTCGATCAGTGAAAAGGGAAAACATGTCTGTTTTTCAAATGATGTGTGATAAAGTGAATAGACAGTGACATTAGCTCACAAAAGAGAAAGAGGCAAAGAGAAAATTGAAAATTCGTCACAAAATGGGTCGGTTGACATGCACAATTGTCCATTTCACTACATGAAATCAGCGTATTAGAGAGAAAACAGATGTTAAAACAAAGAAACATGATACAGTGAAATCTGGGAACAGTAATTTAAAGGGTTTTCAAAAAATTTAACTATGGATTAAGACAAAATGGAGACTGTCAGCCAACACCGAAGGTGATGTCATCTTGCGAACAAATCTTTGATAGGTGTAAAAGTCATGCAACTGAAAAACAAACAAACAAAAAAAAAAAAGAAAAAACAGCCCAGACGATAATTTCAGAGTGAGTCAGATGTAGAGACCACACCACTGTTAGTCCAAACTTGAAAGTTACTTCAAAGACACATGCGTGAGCTTATTCAGAGAACGAAACTCAAATATCAGGACAATACTGGGCTGTGAGATCACTAACAATGGAACTGACATGTGCCTCGAATCTTTGACAATTAGCCACAAAATTTGCAAAGTTTAAAAATTTAACCTACTTTCAAAAATACCAAAAACTTAGACAAACACCAATGTTAAGAAATATTGGCATAGTGGATATGAAGGGGATGTCCGATTGAATGGGTTGTCCACCAGACCTGTCCACCAGAACCTCTAAAAACAGTCACTCTGACACAAGTATGAAAGAAAGGGGAAGTGGGTGTAAGACGTATGACGAAGGAAATGCCACAACAGTACGATGGAAACCAGTTTCATTCAACACAACCCATCGCCAAGGTGATTTTGCGATGAAAGGCGGTGGTTCCGCACTTCTCTAAACGAATGCAGGGGCCATAGGCCAATGGCCCAATGGCTGTGGCTGTGGGCTGTATCGTACGCCCCGTGCCTAGCAGCCTAGCGTACGTCGCAAAGCAGACCTACCTGCGTTTTAGATGTAAGCTGTATTACAGCTTTGCGGAAGCTCAGCTTTGAGTCCTGATTTCCCATGGTTGATGTGTAACTATCCTGCAGCACTACTGATCAACACAAAGACAACATTTCTTTTAAAAGGATCAACAAAAATAACTTCTTTTTCTCTGGATATCGACTTCCAACAAAATTCGCCTGCTGTCTTGTCTGCTGACACTAGAAAAGATGCCTTCTAGAAATCTCCGATTGACAGATCAGTCTACCAACGCTACAACTCAAACAATGACGAAATTTTGAAAACCATTTGTAAAACCTCATGAAATTTCGGAGTAAGATGGTTATTCAGGGTGTAAAGAACTCAAATGCAGAAGTTTTATACGAACGAACCGTTAAAGCGTGGAAATAGAACTGCGAGGTTCTTATGCAAATGGTGGCAGGTCAAGAAAATAAGCCTTCTGTAACTGTTCTGAAAACTGCCTGATTTTGTAAACAATGCGTGGCCAATCCGGTTCATTCATTTTCTGAAGATATCTGCAGATTTCTGTCAATCTCTTCGGTCGAAATTCACTTCTGAGATATTTTACCGGTACCTTCTTGTAGTCAGCGTTCATGAATGAGACATTTAATTTTTTGACTGGTGTTTGGGAGACGAATACTGAAAATCTCTTTCTTTATTGAAACCTATGTCTACAAGTTTTCTGCTTAATGAGAATTCACCCTAGCAGAAGCTATGGGGGTTAGAAATTTGTTAGTCTCTACGGTACTTTTTTCCTGCATAGTTATATCGCTGACCTACAACGGTGATATAATTTACGCCGTTAACGCTGGTGGCGAATCACACACTGATTATTGGGGTGTGCATTATGATAAAGATCCATTAACTGGCAAAGTTGGAACGGCATCTAGTTATGGAAAACAGTTGGTGATTGGGAGAGTGCCTACCGAAGACCAAATTTTATATCAAACTGAAAGATACCACCATAGTACATTTGGGTATGATATTCCAATTGATGAGGACGGAGAGTATGTGTTGGTATTAAAATTTTGTGAAGTTTATTTCAATTCAGCTAATAAGAAGGTAAGTTTGACTTCAAACCTACAACTAACTCAGTGGACGTTTGTTCCGGGCCCAGTACTTTTGTTTTTGCTAAGAGGAGCTGTTTGATTACAGGTGTTCGATATTGTGCTGAATGGAGACCATACCATAGTTAGTGATTTAGATATTTATGATCGTGTCGGACGAGGAGTTGCACATGATGAGTATGTTCCATTTACGGTTTTAAATGACAAACTCTTCGTCAATGGTGCTGAATCCGACATTCAAAGTGGGATGATAAGAGTGGAGTTTATAAAGGTTTGTTAATTATTATCAGAAATTCGAGCTACTCACTCAATATTATCTTAAAATGAATGGAAACAGTGATTGAATTTCTTTCTTTGTAGGGATACAGAGACAATCCAAAAATTAATGCACTTTATGTAATAAGAGGTCGTCTAGATGGTTAGTATAATTTCTGTGTGTTGCACAAGCCGTTTTGTCTTATAATTTTATTCATGATGATTTGTATCTTGGATTTAATTGCAGATGTGCCTAAGCTGCCTTATTATCAGTCAGACAGTGAATATGATGAAATGAAAGAGCGTGAAGAAGACATAAAAATGAAAAGCCGCAAGCCAAGTGGACCACGAACTCCAGATCCATATTCTGTCGATGATACTGCTATCATGTTACCGTTATTCGTGGCAATAGGAGCATTCATTCCCCTCTTATTTTGCTTGTGTAAACTATGATGTACTAAAATCTATGTTTAGGCCAAGGGAACTTGCTTCCTCGTGATGATTAATAGTCTGGTAGACAATTGTTGAAGTTTTGTTAGAAACTTAATCACTATGAAGATTTTATCTATGTGTATGTGAACCACTCTGGTTCTTGAATGTTCAGAAACCTTCAAATGTGATAATCTAGGTCTGAATAGCTGCTTATTCTTTGTAGAACTTTCACTCAAAGTATATGAAAGAAATCATACTTATATTTGGGTTTTCAAATTTATTCTACATTAAATTAACTGCTTTTCTCTGAAGACTGTAATTATAAGGTTCCTGAGTATTTGTGTCTTGGTATGGAATTCCAAGTTGGTCAACATGTTGTAACGTGGATAATTTCTGCATTATGCTGTTGAAAAGTGATACTCGCGAAAACATGCTTCATCGTGCTCTAAATTAACTGAACAAAAACCTCATTAATGGATGAGCATTTTCAAAACAAATTATTGTACATGTATAGGTTTCAGATATGAGATCTTTAAAACATGTCCATCTTCTACAATCAGGCCAAATTTGCAGCGTATAATTTTTTAAAAAGAAAATGTAGAGTTTCATTAATCAAGTACCTTAGTGTGATGGTCTTTTTTCAAAAAAGACATTTTTCTGTTGTTGGATTTATTGACACGACTAGTCTCTACTGATCTGTTTCTTTTTTTTTGTAGAACTGTTAGTGTAAGTGCAAAGTGTGATTTCTTACTTAATACCACATTTTTGTTGTTGTGTTTTTGTTTTATGAGTTTTGCTCACTGAATTTTGATTTCAATCTCAGTCTGCATTGCCTATTCTCCCAGAGAATTTGGGGCTGCTTCATCCTGTGCTGCTAGATGTGCTCTCAAATAATTTTGTTGTCTTCCTGTATTTATACTTATTTGGATTCATTGAACATTCTGTGCTTTTGGTTGAATCATGAATTCTACGGTCTTAGTTACTTAATTTGTATGTATTTGTCCATATGATGATTTTCCTGTATCTGCGTTTAACTAGAATCAGAGCCAGAACCTGACAGCTAAATTGACATTTGCAAGTGGTTTTTAATGTTTATTGACGAAGGAATAGGGTGCCTTTTTCCTTTCTTTTGGTGTACCTTTGCATATTGATTGCACCTTAGCTCTTAAGTCTTTGTCTGTTTTTATTTATTTGTCCGTCTCTTACTTATAACAAGACCAATATTGAAAAGACAATGTATTCATTCTATTTCTTAAACATTTAATATAAGCTACGAGGGTTTCAGTGCAATGGATAGTTGTGTTCCATTTGTTTGGTTGTATATTGTAATTGTTGAAGCATACTCTGTGACAGCACTCTCTATTTATACTAATTTTCAAACATGATAATGGAATCATTCTTTATAAAAGAGATACTTAATAAAGTTAAATGGCTGAAGTTTTGTTAGGTAGGCAAGATCACTTTTAATTATTTTAATTTATTGTTTTTAGACCGAATGTATTATTTCACCAACACTGTGCAGAACCAGTTTTACCTAACATGGTTTGGCTACTTCGCAATAGCTTTGTGATTTTTTTTTGTTTTGTTAAATTTTAACTATGATTTTAAGTAGTGTGTTTATTTTCTTGAACCTGTGCTTGAGGGACTTTGTTCTGTCATAAATTTGTAATAAAATTGTTGCTCTTGTTGTGTGCTGGAACGTGGTGTCAGTCATTCTCTCCCAATACTTAAAATTTATGTTCCGTTCCTCTTGCTGAGTCGCGCGGTGTCAGTCTATCTCGCTCGCTGGAGTGCGAGGTGCGAGAGAGAGGGCGAATCACACCAGGGAAGTCCGCCGCGCGCATGCTCGAGTGCGACAACCCTGGCCGCACGGTATGTTTCACAGCCAACAAAAGCAAGAAAAACTTCTTACAAATAAAAGGCACCGTAGCAGAAGCAAACCACAAAGCTGTCTGCCTGTCAAAATATAAATGTTTTTAACTAAAGCAACGCAGTAAGGTGCGTAATCTGTGAGGGGTTGTGTTTTAATTGATCGTTTTCTCGCTGATTACTGGGCAAGCCCACTGGCCCTAGTAGCGTTTACTTGGCACAGCCTGTCAAATCCAAAATGTATCGTAGCCCGTAGCGGGTATGCAAGCGGGTGGTTGTCCCTTTCAATGTTTCGGCTTGAATGAATCAGACTAAAAGGAAACCGCTACCTGCTGTAGTTTGCTGAGAGCCTTTGTCTTGGTTGACAAGTTTTATACAGCCCTCGAGCCTCTTAACCTGTCTCTCTCCTTGAGATGCGCGTAGGGCATTGACTTATAGTTGGAATTTCATTCAGTCCCCCTATCTTTTTTTTCCTGCATCTAGCTATACATTATGTAAATTTAAACCATTGTTACTTTTTAGTCTGATTGACACCCAGCTTTGCTTTTTAAAATCATTTTTATTTACTCTCTCTAAATTTACATAGGTTATGTTTTAGTAATTGAAGAACCATGATGATGAGATGCTGCATAGAGAATTCTTTAGAACTGTCCCATGTTTCTCAGTTTGTCAATTCTTTTCCAGACCCCGTGAGACTTAATTTTTGATACCTGATACCTAGAAGTCCACAACAAAAAACATAAAATGACTACCACTCAGCAACTAGACTTTCAACAGGCCATGAGAGACTTCAAAACCATGTTTCCAGGCATGGACGATGCTGTGATTGAGGTGTGTAGCTCTATGAAATGATTTCCATAGTGAATTGGTAAGGGAAAGGGTTAGCCTTACAAAAATTGCAAATAACCAATTATCATTATTGATCGACAGGCTGTTCTAAGATCCAACCAAGGTGCAGTGGATGCAACTATTGACCAGTTATTAGCTATGAACACAGACTATGAAAACGAACAGCTACGCCATCAACTTGATGAGGCTGATGGCCCGACTGACACACCTGATCTCATTCAGTCGGTGGCTGCCTCTGGAGCAAGTGCAGGAGCTTGCGGGGGGGCCATCCCAGACAACATCTCAAGGCTTCCCCAAAGCCCCACTCACAAGTATGAATGAAAATTACTCGACACAGCTTGATGATATACTGCTGTTTAGTTCTGCACTGTTTGCAAGCTATGCATGTTTGTCCTTTTTCTTTGCAGTGGAAAACCTCCTCTCCGAGAGATCAAAGGATGGGACCCTCCTATGTTGGGACCATTACCAGATGACTTCCTGAGACTGACACCTTCCCAGAGCCACAAGCAGGTAATTGAGGATGAGGCTCATGCATGCATTTGTTTAGAAGAACCCTCAGATTATGACAAGTTAGCGCCCTGTTTGCATTTTTTGGAATAGTAAACACCAAAATTTGTTTTTGTTGAAAACCTTTGAGTAGCAAACTATTGAGTAGCAAAGAGGCAGATAGCTTATTTTTCTGCGAACTTCCCTTTCGACCTCATCTGGTACTCGTTGGAGCAGTCCCGCCCGCTCGCGCGCAACAAGCCGCATCAGCGTGCATTGACATTGCATCAGAGCGATCCCGATCTGTCTCTCTCGCACCCCCAACGGGCACCATGAGCACGAGCAAGACAGAGCGAAGAAAGCACGGTTCGGAATCAGCCTGCAGGGTGCGAGTCGGTGCGAGTTCATGAAGAAGGGCCCTGATTGCGAGTGGGAGGCCGAGGCTAGCCGAGGCTGACGGGATGGCATGGGGAAGGGGAGGGGAGCGGAAGGGAGGGAGGGAAGTCCAATGAAAGCGCCTGACGGACGGCGGATCGGCCGGCCGCCGGGCACGCCCGCGCGACGGGCTTGCCTACCCGCCAGGCGCCTTACTGCGAGAGGTGCCTTCACAACGAGGTAGTTTCCTTGAATCGCTGGCCTCTGATAAAGAAACCTCGGTAGCTCTGCCGGCGTGTAGGCGGCCGGACCCGACTGCAAAGTCCGCGCTAAAATTCGCCGCGGCCGAATGCAGCGCAGGGTCGCGGGTCTGGGCGGGCTGTCGCCGACTGTCGGCGAGGATGCGCGGGCCTCCGTAGATTGGATGACCACTTGTGCCGGGCACGCGCGGGGGCGGCGCGGAGGCGCGGGGGGCGTCCAGTTGAGCCAGGTCCCCGCCGGGGCACCGCCGGGGCACCGCAGGGTCAGACGTCAGACCTTCGCCGTCCAGCCTGTTACCCGATCACCGCAGTGCCGAGCAGTTCCGCCACCGCCGCGCGTCGTCGGTGTGGTCTTGCTGCCTGGAGTGGCCGCGTTGGACGGCGTAGTCGCGCTGCCCGGAGTTATCGTGCCCTCCCAGAGTGTCGTGTTTTCCCTGCTGGTCGTGGTCTCCCGTTTTCGTGCCCCCCCGCCCTGTGGTAGCGCCCTCTCTGAGTGGTCGTGCTCTCCCGTGCTATCGTGCTTCCTCTCACCTCGCGTGTGCTGGTGCTCGGAGACCGGGAAGCTACGTCGCCAAATCTGCGCGTTGTCAAGTCCGCACCGAAGCAGCCGTATCTCCAGGCTCCACCATGTGGAGGCAGTTCGTGGCGCAGATGCAGCACCGCGGGCGGCAGCTGCAGGCGCGCTGGCACGAGCGCCGTGCTCGCAGGCGCTACCTCCGCCGCGAGAAGCACCGGCGTAGGGCGGAGCGCGCCGTGCGCTCGTACGCCGCCATCGCCCAGTCCTGTGCTCTCCACACGGCCTCGCTCTTCGTGGAGGGCAGCCGCGCCTTCGGACAGTACATGGCCCCCGACTGGATGCCTCACTTGCCCGAGGACGTGAGTGCGGGGCGTGCAGAGAGAGGAGAGACTCTCTCTTTCTCCCTCCAGGCAAAACTGGACAAAGCCTATTCCAGTCTTTGCCTGGAAAATTCGAAAAATGTCACCAAAAATATTCCCTAGAAAAATCAACTCAAAATTATGCAGATATATTTTTTTAGATGAACTGGTTCTTCATGGACGAGTTAAAGGGACTTTGATTGAATCGTAAATTTATAATTTCCATTAAATTTGTGTCTAACATTTTCTGCACCTGTCTTGTTGACTCTTCAGACGATGATGCTAAGCCAGCAGATACTACAAGCGAGGTATGCCGAAAATCAGAGGGTAAGAGGAGTGCTGGGGGACAGTGCTGCTGATCCTGACCTAGATCAATTTTTGGAAGATGAGCGCATTGCCCTGTTTCTGCAAAATGAGGAGTTTATGGCTGAGCTCAGGTGGAACAAAGACTTTCTTCATGCACTAGAAAAAGGTATTACTTCTAAAAATAAATCCTTATTGTAATTTTTGCTGAACACTTTTTAATATTTTAAAAACAAATTTTACAGAGCAAAGTGCTGAATCCCCACCAGGTGAATTGCTGAACAAAGCATCTGGTGGACTGCCTGATGATGACTTATTCAGAGAACGTCTTCGCAATATGGGGAAAAGTAAGTATCTAGAATTTCACCTCATTCTCGAACCTAGATGACCTCTGACCTGTTTCTAATTGCATCAATTTTTTAAGTGTCTCGCAAGAAATTTGCTCAATTGGCAAGGATGTTCACTGGACGTAAGAAAAGAAGTGCGAAACAAATACTGGGACACAGTGCAGGCCCTTCCAAAGATTCACTTCTTCTCAACTCGGAGCCGTTGCTGTCTGCAGAGGACGAGGACAATGATGGGGAGCATAGCAACACTCAGGACAGACACCATGAGGGAAATCATTTATAAACCACCGTATTCCTGTTGTGATAAACTTGATTAGACTTCTGTGTAAGTGTTTATTCATCATTGACTGAAGACTTAATTGTTCAAGGTTTATTTTGTTACTTCTGGAGCATCAGCATTGTAATTTCACATGCTTTTGAAGTTGCCTCCGTTATGTGAGAGAGCCATTGAAAGTTTTAACATACCAAACTTACTAATACTCAAACTGAAGTTGAAAAATGAGTAGGTGTGCCTGTGTTCATTTGTGGTTTATTCCTCAAAAATGTTTCTAATCTCAAATTATGGCATTTTGGCTCACACCCCAAAATACTAGTACTTACTCATTACAAAAGTATCTTTTTGCTTTATGCCACCGTTTTTCCCCCCTGTAAATAAGCATCATGGGCTTTACTAGAATATAGTAACTGGCAAATTCTCAAACATTTTACTTTGAATGTAGTAAAAATTGTTACTCTATTATATTTGTTAGTCAATAATAATAATAATAATAATAATTTATAATGGGAATCTCTAATACAATCCTAGTTGTAATATACTCAATGAAAAACTGAAGATATTGTTTAGTCATCTCGATCTTGATCTCTCTGCTTAATAGGTCCTGCTTGCTGTTAAAAGTTGTGATGCAACTAGTGAAAGATTGTTAATTGTTGTTTGTTTCTTATTGTTGTTGTTCTTTACTTTCTCAGTGCTTTGGTTCCATTTAGTGTGTTTCTTAATCAATGTATCATATCGTTTTTAGAACCCCGTATACTATTGTTTAGTTGTATCACATATCAAGAGCTCTTTTAAATTGTTAAACCTGGATGGATATTTGGGTACATCCTGTTCTTATGCTGATGATAATTGGTTTACTTTACATAAGCCGCTAGTCATTTTGTTGAATTTGTTTTCAGGGCACTTAACATGTCCAAGGGTGACCTCACTCTCAACTTGTTAAATCCTATTTTTTTAAAATTTTCTTTTCTTGTCTTGCTTCTTTATTTTTTCAGCCACAGTGCTGCCTGTGACCTCTTTTGTTATATTGTAATATTTTTTCACACCCAGTTACCATTGTTTATTATTTTTAACCATCTGTTGCTTTGGTCTCAGCGCTGTAGGTTTTTCCCTTATTATTTATTTGCCCTCCACATGAAATGGTGTCATTCATGCTGTTGTTTAATTTTAATTGTAAAGTAGCTGTAGTAAATTACAAGCAGGTGTTTGTCCATTTTTTCTATGCAAGCCATACAGTGAAACAAACTTAGTCAGTGGAAGAAGTTTGTAGTAGGATCTCCTTTATACTCTCATACCAAAGAAACATCAGGGTACACACATCCCACTGTTGTGAAACTTTTGTGAGTATTAATATTGATCTTATAGTCAGCATGTACCATTGGCTCTTTTAAGAAATGGCAATAGGGGAATGCAAAGGCCCCTAAAGACTTTGAGTGAGAGACAATAGATGCCTGAAAGTGAACATGCGTGTATTCTTTATTATGTCCATTTCAGGCATCATATTGGAACAAATTATACCCTAAATGACAGCCCACTTATGTAGTCAGTGGAACAAACTATAATTTATATGTAAATACTTCACAAGATCTGTTCTTATCAAATCTTGTGGTGCCAATGCAAAAAGCGGAAGAGATTTCATCTGAATTTGTGATCTTGATTTTGTAATTGTGAGATTAGATACGTTTTCAAAAAAAAATTGTTAGTTTTTTTCAATGCAATATACTTATTGTTGGTATGTCTCTAGGTTTTATGGACAGTAAATCTTTCACATTTTTGTACCATCCTATTTCTCCACAGAAGAGACCTGACAATGCCCCTTTAATACCATGGCAGTGTAAAATGATATGATGGAAGTACTGTATACTAGTACTGACTTTTAGGTTGCTGATAAGACTCAATGTCTTCAACCCATATGTTAATAAATACGCATGGATGTATGAACTGTAAATTTTTATTCTGAGTCTTCCCCCTCCCAATCATTCCATCTTTTGATGTGACCAATCTACTTCTCACATCATCAAGAGGAAGAGACCTTGTCGCTTTCAGCTTTGGCACAGCCCTGTACTGGCCTGAGCATATCTTTACGCTATAATCCACTGTCTGATGAACATGGTTGAATGCAGTCATAACACCATCCATTTGGTAGTCTGCAGAGTCAATCAAGTTCACAAGTGTGGACTAGTGCAATATTGTTTAGGAAATCAGGGATAGACTAATGAACACTCATCACATTTAAACATTATATTTGGAAGAATGGGCGAACATATTTACAGAGGAAAAACATGGATCTACTGAATTAAACTATCATAATAGCACTTCTGGTCAAAGTCAACAGTATTAGGGTTAAGGAGGATATGACTTAAGAAATTAATTGTGAAAAGAATATACATCTTCAAATATAGCATAGTTCAAACATTCAATTATTTAGAGGAATAATATATACACCTAACAATATGTGATAACTCACAGCACTTACTACAGCTCACAATAGTAGAACGACTGAGCACAAAAGGTACACAACGTTAACTGTTAGGAAATGCTATGAATCTGAATAATCAACTGTGGTGTTTGGCCAAACTTTTTGTTTGTTTTTTTTTTTTGTTTTTTTAAGAAAGAGAGTAAACTTTGAAAACTTAGCAAGGCTCCACCACAAACTTGACTATCACTAATAATAATTAAACATTTTTGAAGACTTAATTTCATCCATAAATAAATGTATTTATCATATAATATTATAGAATAGAATAACTATTGGTTAGGCAGAGTTTAGGGGAATCTAAAAGAAAAGCTACATAAACGTGAGGTCACTCAAAAATCAATACTTGAGTATTTGTATGTGAACAAAACAAAGTTGCAGAAGCAACACATGAGAACCATGTGAGAAAGCATCAAACATGATGAATGAAGAATGAATGAAGAATGATCATACCTTGCATTTGCAAATCATGTATGCAATACCTCAATTATCAATTAGACATCACTTTCCAAAATGATTCCCCCAACTTTCTGAAGTAATTTTAAACAATTTTTATCACTGATGATGACTTTTTATCACGAATCTGAAAAGAAATCAAGTAAAAAAGACTAGCATTTGTTCTAGGACGTGTGAGAGCCATTAAATCAGAATACAATCCAGAAGATTTAATGGTTAACTAAAACTAACTCATGAACTTTGACCAATGTCAATACTGCTAAGGGCACAGGAACATCTAGATCCACACACCACAAATTAAAAAGAAAGGTTTCTTCCCTGGTAGACACTCAAAAAGGGGCAAGAAAAGTCAGGAAAAATAACTACAGAAAGTGGCAAACCAAGGAGCAGCTCACGACATTACATTAAAAAGGTCGATGGTTAAAAGAATGAAATTTTAAGTTCACACTAAGAAATTATAAAGCAAACTACCATATTACAATAATGAAATGAATACATGATTGTTATAAAATAAAAACCAGATCCAGTCAGTCTCCTTTTAAGTACAAATATACATTGTACAGCTTCTACTCTTGATTGAGATCTACTTCAGACAACAAAAGCACTTACAACAAAACCAACGCTGACATAAAAACCTCCATAAACATGCACAGATGGCAAAATCTCTTCTTTCCTGATTGATGTAGAGAGATTCTTGGATGGTTACAGCTTGCAAAAATGCAAGGTCTCACAAACAACTTTAAATAACAATTCTTCTTTGTGATTTCTACAAGACACAAAGAACTACTGAGGTTCAAATACTCTACAAATAGATTGAATAGCCCAAGTTATGATATTCCATATGAGAAGGCACAGTTTGGATTTAGTACTGGCAAACTTCAGACGCGAATACACATTTAATAACCTTCTTCATCTTCGTCCATGGCAAATTCATCACCGAGTCCTGAATCCATGGAATAAATAGGACTGAAAAAGTAAAGCAACAGATGAGTTCCCTTTCTTTTCAAAAACTAAAGGCAGGTTTGATTACAAGGAAATTAATTTGTTGGAAAGGAAAAACTTACTTGATGGCTCTGCAAGTGAAGAAAACAATGCGCTTCATTTTCTTGTTGTACAAGAAATAGTTGAAAGACCAAAGACACCCATCTTCTCCAAAGGGATCAGATGCCAAGTCTGGATTGTAGCTAAAAGTCAACCATGGATTAATTTACAAAAACAAACAAAAACTATAAAAACAAACAGAAGGGTTCAAGTCATAGTTAGTTGACTCTTACCTGTAAATGTCACATTCAGCCATAGAAATCTCATCTTCAACTGCAGCCCAAAGTTGGGACCTCATAGCTCGGTACTGTTCCCCTGCAGTGGCACTAAGATTGCTGTCCACCGCATTCATCACATGCTGAGGAATAATGAGATGTAAATAAAATACTCATATATTCATTGTTTCTATCATACAATGAGGGACACTTACAAGAAGACTTGGTTCTTTGCTGAATTCGTGACTCTTGGCATCAGAAAAATCATAATCCGGTTGGAATGCCGAATTGAGGGTTGCAATCAAATAGAAAAGTGTTTTGCGACTGATGGTATCGCATAACGGGCCTTCCTCATCGCCTGACACACTGCGGCTGTAATACCCAATTGAGCAATTGGTTAGCATAATCAACAACTCTAATGATGATTAGGATAAAAGCAGTCTTAACGAAACACAAACCTGAAATAATTATGGGGAGACACCCCAATGGATCCTTGAGGTGGGGAAAGCGCCTGAAGGTCCTGAGGGCTTGTACCCTGCTCAGAATTGAACCGCTTGTAAAGCTGCTTGTCTGTACCAGCCATCTTGCAGGAGTAACTCTCAATTCTAGAAAGACACAGAGTTTAGTTGAGCAATGGGCAATAAAAACGGCTAGGTAAAACGGCCATCAAAATCATGAAGCACTGACCTGCCGACTATTTTGCTGTCCCCTGTCTTGATGCAGAGGTTACTGTTTATGGCTTCAAACCTTGAACTTTCGAGGAGCTTCATGTTGATTTTGTCAGAGGAAGAAATGTACACAGAAGGCAAACTGGTGCGTCAATTTCAGTCGCTTATTATCAGGCCTCCTTATCAGGTACAAGTCAAAGGGTTTCCAATCACAATCGGACTTCACAAAAGACTTAATATAAAGTTTGTATCGGTGCACAATTTAAATTTTGCGGTGCAGGAGAGTTTTTGATCATAATTCTGGGGTGCAGAAAGATTCCTTTTCTCCTTGAGTGAAGGAGGCTGAAGCTTGACACAGCGTATTGGTCGGATTGCAGCGCAAAGACTTGTTGGATGTTTTCCCGTGCGTACATCACAAAATAAAGGTCGGTTAAGTCCCACTTTCGCACAGGAGGACACTGGAAATATCGAGCGTCTCGGTTTGGAAATCCAGTCGAGCTTTGTGTGGATGTTTACAAACAAAGCCACTGATGCCCTCGGCCGAAGGCGACCCCTTCAAAGAAAAGGTCAACGCAGGGAAAAGCGACCCGATTTTCACATCGGATCAATCACTGAGTCCTGCGTACTTTTCAAGAAAGCCCGGGTGAGATTGCAGAGCCTCTAGACAGCGATTCACAAAATTTTCACGGTCGATACTAAACTTCTATGACACTGACAGGGGAATATTCTCGTACGCCGCTTTCAGTTGTTCAACTAACACAAAACAAAATGGAGGCAACAAGAAGATGGAGGTCAGACGCCAAGGCTACCGCGCTTGCGAAAAGTATGCGAAATTGTGCGATGCACGCCGTGCTTTACCCACGGCTTTACTTGCTTTACCAGCTTTTCCCACGCCATGATCCCTTTTAACCGGACCAGTTTTGGGCATTAGACGTAACCCGGAGTTGATCAGAAACAGAAGGCAGTTTCCATAGAATTATGTACCCGCTCCTCGGGTAGAGAGAGTAAGAGGGGTGGAAGTCGAATGGGCTGCCTACCCACCGGGCGCGAATGTCGTTTTCCGTTCCGTTCGTCTGCAATGAAAGCGGATGTCCTTCCCCTAAGCAGGTTAGGGGGTTGAAATTGTGTTTTGTAAGGGCCGACTAATTGGGGGTGGCTCTTGTGTCAGGAGGGGGAAAACAAATTAAACGTCGTACTTTTCTTTTAACCACGTGATTTAATTTCTTAATCATTTCAATCATGCAATCAGTCTTTATCAACAGCTCATGCATCTTCGAGCGTTCTCACATTGTTATAATACTGTTTATACCACTAATACAACATTACCCTAGAAAATAATCGACCAGAAATCACTGCAAGTGTCGCGATTCAACCTCAAGATCTGCCATGTTGATCGAGATGGCCGGTGCGGCCCGGCGGCGTCCTTGTCGGAATGTGGTCGCACGGGGAAGTCCTTCTTTTGGCGGGAACCACGGCGGCCGGTTGCGAGGCGACTTCGAGTAGCCCTTTGAGGATCGAGCGTGCCGGAGATCGATCGCAAATCGAACCCGCTCCAACAGTCTGGCTTTCCTTCGACTCGGTGACGACGGGGACGAGACTGGGGCGCTGTTCGCGAGTCCGCCGCATGCCGCATGGGGTGCGCGGTGCTGGGGGCGGTGGGGGGGGGGGCGGTGCGGGCCTTGGCGGTCTAGCCGCGAGAGGTGCGGGCCGCGGTGCCGATGAAGGAGCTCTGGGGCGCGGGGCCGACGGGGAAGGGCGCGGGGTTGCAGTTGGCGCCCACGCAGGGCACGGCCTGGCCCGTGTGCTGCGCGATGTGCTGCTGGTTGAGGAACCAGAAGGGCTGGTTGGGCCGCGGCCAGGACGGCACGCGGTTGGCCAGCTGGGTGTCCTCCAGTGTGTTGGTCATGCCCGGCGCGGGCAGGCTGCCCGGCTTGTTGTCCCGGTTGCCGAGGTCCGTGTCGCTGGACGCCGCCGGGCCGCCGTACTGCGGCAGCTCCTGGCTGAAGCCGCCGGGCCGCGGCGCGTACGAGGGCCGGTACTGCGCGCCGGCGGGGGCGGGCGACAGGCACGCCGCCACGGCGATGCAGACCACCACGACGGACAGCTGCAGGACAAAAAGGAGAGCAACGTTAGAAAAACGGCAGAATAAATCGGGGGGAAACCGACGACAAACAACGGGTGCGTTTTTTGTGGTGTGCCGAGGCCCGCGATGCGGAAAATTGCGTCCACAGATGAGTCAGACCGCCGGAGCGGCCGGAGTGTCGCGGTGCCGGCCTGCCGGCTGCAGCGGGGAACTTGGACCGTACCGCGGGGTGTTCGGTCGGAGGATGGAGCCAAAGGCGGACGTCTCCGGAGCAACGATCTCGGAGGACGCGACAGGCAAAGCGACTTCTTGTTTTCAACCTCGCTCCTCCCCTCGTCTCGGCCTTCGGGGCGTGGCGGCGTGGCGGCGTGGCAGTGTGGCGGTCACCTTCCCCAGGTCTGCTGGCGTCTGTCTGGCGGGGCCAAAGGGGACGGGGACTGGGCGCCGATTTACATGCAACCCGCTGCACCGTGTACGGTGCGACTCGCGCGCCCCGGGCCCAGCACGTCAACTGCGTCGAGTAAGTAGGGAGGGACAGACTTCGACGGTGGAGTGACCCCTTGCCAACAGAGGCCAGCAGCGCCAAAAGCGTCAGCCTCGTCAAAGTCACATCCAATGGAGGAAACTCTGAACATCAACTTGACGCCGAATTTCACCGCAGACCTCCTCGACCTTGACCGTCAGCAATGATATGCTACACATTCGGCGCCGCCGTCGAGTCGTTAATGCGAGTAAAAGGCTCGAGTTGCGACGGCCCCTGACCTGTACGCTCGCATTGCGCGGGAAGACGTGCGGGGCGTGGGAGACCGGGGGGGGGGGGGGGGGGGCAGACCGGGAAAACCCGCTCGTGACAACAAGCGAGCGGGCCGACAGCGACGACGCGACGCAGAGAAAGAAGACCCGGCGTGGCCTTCCCTCGCCGCGCCAAACATAATTACAACGAAGTACGCACCATTTTAATCTGAGTCGGTCGTAAATTTGATAAAGCCGGAAAAAAGATCGCGGCAGCTGATGGGCAAAGGGAAATCCAAACTAGGCGGGGCCAGAGCCGGCCTCTTATTCGCAATCGTTTACAACCCGGGAGATGGGAAAATACGCGCGCGAACCGGTCTGCCGTGCCGGCCCGGACGACTCGGGGCGGGGCGCCTCTTTTTAATGGCAGAACCAATTTGGACGGCAGCGTCGCCAAAAGGAAATTGAACCGAACCGCTCTCCGACTGCCACACCTCCGCTCCTTTCGGATGGAGAACGTCTTTTGATGTGTCTTTTCCTCCGCGATCAGAGGAATGTGTGATCGTTTCAGGACACAGCTGGAAGCGCAGTGAGGTTTGGAGACACGGGGGGCACAGGACGAGCTCAAAGAAACCTCGCTCGTTACAATGCAGCCAACTGCCAAGCCAAACTGCCTTCAAACCGCATTAAGCCGACCATCGTCTTCCGAGAGAGGCTCACGTCCAAGTCTACTACACTCGATACTCACCATTGTGTCGGCACTGGAGGAAGGCGTACGGTATTCCACGGGCAAACTCAACTCGTCTAGATCACTGGCTGCGCGGCAAGCTGCTTGCGATGCTCGTCGGCCGGCGGGGAAGCACAGACTGAGCCGGCCGGGGCCTCCTCGCCGTTATATAGGTGGCAACAGTGGAGTGGACGGGCGTGCTGCGGGCGGCACCGCGCCGAAGACTGATTCCGAGACTCGTTTTCGTCGCCCTGTCTCTCTCCCGTCCCCCCATAAGTGTGAGAGAGGCAGAGCGACGATAGAGACTCTCGGAATCAGTCCGCCGGAGCCCGGGCAAGGGAGAGAAAGAGAGGGGCGGGGGCACTGTTTTAACACAGACATTCGTGAATTTCGGACCATCCTGTTTGAAACCACCCTCCCCGCATCCTCTCTCACAACCCGGGTTCGAGTCCCAGCAGAGGCACCGAGTTGTTGGTTTGTTTTCGCGCCTCCCCTTTGATCCTCCCCTCCTCATTTTCAGAACGATATCGCCGCTCTGTGCTGCGGGTCATCTGCTGGGGTCGCCGAACACGTGAGTCGTGAGGGGAGTCTGTTGTGCGACGCGGGAAAGCTGGAAAAGCGCCGCGTTTCGCATTTCCCGGGAAGACCAGACGCACTGGTTGCCTACCTCGAGGCGCGCACTGCACTGTGTAATGGCGGGGTTCGGGTTTTGGGTTTCCTGCGACGCGCCTCATCCTGGGCGATGATCCCGGCCACGCAATGGAGACCCGCATGGAGGCGCCGTCTGTCGCTCTGTCTCTCTCGCACTCACGAGGCGTTCCGCAGTGGTGCGAGAGAGACGGAGCTCGTCGGGGCCCGCGACCCTGGGGGGCCAGAGGGAGGCCCCCGGCCTCGGTCGTGCGTGTGACAATGACATTAATGACAATACCACACGCGAGAACAAACGTTTTCAGTTCCGTGCTAACCCCTTTAGCGGGAAAACCTTAGCCACGTGCTAAAAAAAAGTAAACGATTGCACCATGCTATTACAGTAGATTTTTATCACATGGACTGGCAAAGGCGCCACTGGTCTTATTATATGAACAGGGAAAGCCCAGAGCCCGAAAAGTTTGACTCCGCAATAAAGCATGCTGAGAGCGCTTCGGTTTTGTCTTGGGCGTTTGAGTGTAGTACTAGTGTACTTCATACTCGTCGACGCTGGACGTCAGTCCGTGGTGAGGGAGTGTGGCTGAGGTCGGTGGACGGTTCGGTCAGGTCAAATGTCACATCGGTGTCGACTTGACATATCGATTCATCCCAATGCCCTCGCCGATTTTGGAGTGGACCTGTCTAACTGACGTCGTTTGGACTGTCCGTCGCTCACTCGGGCCATTCGGGTGATTCGGGTGCCCCAGGCGGGGGCCGGGGACCCCGACGGGGCGGGGCTCGGTGGCGGGGCGGCTCGGCTGTGTGACAAATGACGTCACGGGAATCGCGAGCACGGCGGGGCTCGGCGGGGCACGGCCACACGTCTACGCGCGTCGCAATCTGGACCGGCCGGTAGGTGCGACGCCACGCCGCGCCACGCCATGCCACGCCGACAAAGAAAACCCGGAGGAGGGGAAGGAGGCGGGGGGCGGTGGTCCTTTCCCGCGCTGCTGATGAGTCAAGGGGTCAAGCCCGCCGTCAGCGCGTTGGCGGCCAGCCCCAGGCTGAGGCCTTCTCTCTCGCACCTTATCCATGAGTGCGGGAAAGACAGAGCAGCGGCAGCGAGATTCGCTCTGCATTGGATCATGCTCGGCGCATGATCAACCCTTCAAACGAACGGCCTACAGGAGCATCACCAGCGCCCCGATTACACCGACACGTAGCGCCGCGTGGCGCACGTACGTACCTGCATCACACGCCTGCACCATGCCTGCACGCCCGCGAGCGAGAGAGTGAGTAATGCGGCGTCTGTTCCCCTGCGCTGGGCACGGCCGGAAATACGGAAATACCCCCTGCAATAAGGCACCTCTAAAATGGGGCGGTCGCAAGGCCGATGCGTCGCCTTGAGTCAACGCCGCGGCCTCCACCTTCGCTCCGGGGCCGGCCGGCCGGCGGGCCGGTGACGTTGATGACGTCACCTCGACTTCGGTTCGGGGGGCTTCGTCGCATTTTCGGTGTCGGCCGGTCCGCTGCAGAGACACGCGACACGCGTCACTTTCCTCGTATCGGCGAGGAGTACGGGTACGCCGTGTTATCAGGTCACAGTCCGAGTCCCGCGCCTCGGTGGCCCCACCGCGTCGCGGTGTCGCCGTCTCTCTCGCACCCCTACGGGTCGCCGCAGCAGTGCGAGAGAGACAGCGCGAGGAAAACCCGCACGGTTCGGAATCAGACCGCCACCATTGGGACCGGGATTCGGAATTGACCCGACCCGGCAGTCGACCTGGGCGGGCATTGTTTACACGGCGCCAGCCGGGCCATTCCGCCGCTCTGTCTCTCTCGCACCCCTACGGGACGCCCCACGAGTGCGACAGAGACAGGGCGACGAATTCGGGATCGCCGGGTCGTTTGCGAGTGCAACAGGGCCGTGCGAACGGTGTGACCGTCGTCAAGGCGTCCGCGATGCAGATGCAGAGCGCCCCGCCCCGCCCCGCCCATCAGGGGCTCGACGGCGTCGAACTGGTCGGACACACCTCCGGAGCCGCGACGGCGCGACATCCACGTCGTCTGCCTGATGTATCGCCGGCCGCCACGCCGGTTTGGCGCGAAGCCGCGAAGAGCGCGGCTCGTTGCCGCCAACGCTGCCGGCCAATCAGATTGCAGCGGCATGCACAGTGTGCGCACGCCGCCATTCCAGCGGTATACGTGTGGTTGCGGCTCTCTGTCTCTCTCGCACTCACGGGCTCGTGGGGCGTCGCGGAGGTGTGCGAGGGAGACGAGGCGACGACAGGACCGTTCGGAATCGTCCTGCGGGGCCCTCGCCGGGCCTGCCGGACAATGCGCATTGAAATTCAGAAGCCCGTCCTGGACGTGCGGTGCGCCCAGTCAGAAGCTCTTCGCCGGCGACTCGGTGTGACTCGGTGTCGCTGCTCTGTTCTCCTCGATGTTATTGGTTAGCAACTCGCGACAGGAGAAATATGCTTTTCAGTCCGCAGAAAATCTGATTTCACGTGGCGGCAGAATTTTTCTTTTTCAAAAAGAAGGTATTATCTGGTAATAACAAGTGTTGTTCTCGCGACTGCGTCCCGCGCCTTCCGCCGTGACAGAGTCTCGAGGCCTGCCGTGACGCGCGCCTGTCTGCCGCCGTGCTGGTGGTGCTGGTGCCCGCACACCGCCAGAGGCTGCGTACGAACAGCAACCGCCTCAATTTGCATTTCGCGCCTCCCGCTCCTTCTGTTCTTCCGGACGCGTCCTGGGGCTGCCCGGCCGCCCTGGCCGTCGCACAGCGGCAGAAAATGAAACAATCACAACTAAAGCCAAATAAAACAAGTTTATTTCAAACTTTTTTTTTCCATATTTTTCGTAAATGTCCGATTAAATCTTTGAATAGACTACATTGAATGGAGAGAAAAATACATAACTTGAAAAAAAAGGCGGAAGGGGATGGGATGAGGAGGGGAGGGGGAGGGGGGCTCAAGGGAGGGGTGGGTTAAAGTCCGACTAAACCGGGCAGCAAGCCCAAACTCCTCACGTTTCAGTCTCAAAAGAATCCAGCAAGGATCCCGGCACGAACGGGGATCTACTTGTGCATTTGTGCACCTATCCAGGGATCGGATTAAAAAAAATGAAACCAAAGGACACGTTGAGGTCGACACATTTTCGCAGACTCAAACATTTAGAGCTAATCACACTTTTTGTTGTTTCAAGTACTTAAGAAAATTTTCGGCAGGCAAAGAAATAATAATAATTTTGTCGTCGTTTTTTCCACCGATTGGAGCTATAAAATACAGAACTGAAGTTCCAACCTTGGTTCCATCGAGTTACCACTGTTCGTGAAAGGTTTTGTGCTGAACTTTTTTTTTTTCGAAAAAAAAAAAAAAAAAAAAAGCTTATTTGTGCGGGCAGGAAACCGGTGGATTCACTGCTCTAACATTTAACTCACGAGCAGCATAAAAATAAAGTAGCGAACAACGCTTCAAATTTCATTGGCACCCAGCAAGAACCACCACAGACGATGGCGAATTTTCTATCAACGAGACCGTGACAGGGGTCCGTGAAGGAGAGATCTTTGCTCAACTTTTCACTCACTAATAATACGACACTGCGCTCACTCACTCACACAATGCACACACGCACATAAAGACACACACGTTACACACACATAATCCAAAACTAAAGCGATAGAATACTAAACATCACAATAGTCTGACTTTTCGGTCAGTGCTACAGCCGTTTCCGATTTTTTTCACCACAGCTCCAGTTTCTGGCCTAAAGACATTTCGGCCCCATAACAAAATAAGAAATAAACAAATCTACCGCATTTGGGGAAAAAATTGACACAGTTTCCATCCTTCTGTTTTTTATAACCATGATCTCGTGTCTCAATCTGTCTTGACGAACGAAGAGGGGATGGGGGATTGTGAGATGTTGGGCGTTCTCCCCGTATCGCGACGACATTCACCGCGCCGCCGCTGCACTGTAAGGAGGAGTCTTCCTCGTCTCTTCATTGCATCGTCAACTTGACGGTCTCAAACGGATTCCCCGTCTCCGGCTGAAAAAGAGAAGTATCTATAAGTCCATTTGACATTGTTTTTGGGCATGACAGTGACCACCCTGGAGCGGCCGCGCAAAATGCGACAAACCTCCGCGACCGACATGAATGTGGTTAGGTTAGGTTAGGTTAGGTTAGGTCAGCGGTTCTCAACCATTCTCGGCTCGCGACCCCAAATTTGAAGCCAAAAATTTCCGCGACCCCCAGGAAAAATTTCGCGACCCCACGGGACCCCTCCTTTAACATGCCACGGTGTCTGATCCGAGGCGGGCATTTTGCTCCCTCAACGGGCAACTGGTCTTTGGACCTTCCTTTAGCATGCCTTTGTTACGGAGTGCAATTATCAGTCTTAGTTTGGGAGCAGTATTGTCTCAAAGTTGGCCAAAACGCTCAGAAATGTCTATGAAAAATCGTGTTTTGGGCTGATTTTAAGCAGCCACAGCGTCTGATCCGAGGCGGGCATTTTGCTCCCTCAACGGGCAGTTGGTCTTTGGACCTTCCTTTAGCATGCCTCTGTTACGGAGTGCGATTATCAGTCTTAGTTCGGGAGCAGTATTGTCTCAAAGTTGGCCGAAACGGTCAGCAGTGTCTTTGAAAAATCGTGTTTTGGGCCGATTTTAAGCAGCCACTGCGTCTGATCCGAGGCGGGCATTTTGCTCCCTCAACGGGCAGTCGGTCTTTGGACCTTCCTTTAGCATGCCTTTGTTACGGAGTGCAATTATCAGTCTTAGTTTGAGAGCAGTATTGTCTCAAAGTTGGCCGAAACGCTCAGAAATGTCTATGAAAAATCGTGTTTTGGGCCGATTTTAAGCAGCCACTGCGTCTGATCCGAGGCGGGCATTTTGCTCCCTCAACGGGCAATTGGTCTTTGGACCTTCCTTTAGCATGCCTTTGTTACGGAGTGCGATTATCAGTCTTAGTTTGGGAGCAGTATTGTCTCAAAGTCGATCAAAACGGTCGCAAGTGTCTTTGAAAAATCGTCGTGACTATTTTGGTCAACTTTGAGACAGTACTGCTCCCAAACTAAGACTGATAATCGCACTCCGTAACAAAGGCATGCTAAAGGAAGGTCCAAAGACCAATTGCCCGTTGAGGGAGCAAAATGCCCGCCTCGGATCAGACGCAGTGGCTGCTTAAAATCGGCCCAAAACACGATTTTTCATAGACATTTCTGAGCGTTTCGGCCAACTTTGAGACAATACAGCTCTCAAACTAAGACTGATAATTGCACTCCGTAACAAAGGCATGCTAAAGGAAGGTCCAAAGACCAACTGCCCGTTGAGGGAGCAAAATGCCCGCCTCGGATCAGACGCAGTGGCTGCTTAAAATCGGCCCAAAACACGATTTTTCAAAGACACTGCTGACCGTTTCGGCCAACTTTGAGACAATACTGCTCCCAAACTAAGACTGATAATCGCACTCCGTAACAGAGGCATGCTAAAGGAAGGTCCAAAGACCAACTGCCCGTTGAGGGAGCAAAATGCCCGCCTCGGATCAGACGCTGTGGCTGCTTAAAATCAGCCCAAAAACACGATTTTTCATAGACATTTCTGAGCGTTTCGGCCAACTTTGAGACAATACTGCTCCCAAACTAAGACTGATAATCGCACTCCGTAACAAAGGCATGCTAAAGGAAGGTCCAAAGACCGATTGCCCGTTGAGGGAGCAAAATGCCCGCCTCGGATCAGACGCAGTGGCTGCTTAAAATCGGCCTAAAACACGACCCCAGCATCGCCGCGACCCCTTAAAAAAATTTCGCGACCCCGCTTGGGGTCGCGACCCTAAGGTTGACAACCACTGGGTTAGGTGTACCTTGCTGCGCATGGCGCGGATGCGGTTCAGCAGGCCCTGCGAGCTGGGCGCCGCGAAGGCCACGTCCTCCTCCTCGGCGTCCTCCTCGCCCAGCGCGCAGCTCTCCGCCGGCGGCAGGGACGAGTCCGCGTCCAGGTCGCCGTCGCCGTCGCGGCCGCCGTTGGACTGCACCAGCTTCATGTACTTGTACTCCAGGCTCTGCGTCTTGCGCCAGAAGTGCATCATGCAGCCGCACAGCATCAGCGCCAGCGCCACCGACACGGCCACCACCAGCTGCGGGGAGAATCAAAATTCCAGTTTCCGAGTCGAAAAATGAAAGTTTCTTTTTGAAACTGTGATTGTTCGCGGTGTCGTCCGGTTGCCGGGCCGGGATCTCGGGTGACCCATTGCCGATGCATTGGTCGGATCCACAATCACGTTTTCCGGGGAACAAGCCGTGAGCGAGCCGGTAAGAGTTTCCCTGCGGACCTCCATTCCGAGCACTGCTGTCGTCGCTGTCGCACTCATGGGGCGTCCCGTAAGGGTGCGAGAGAGACAGAGCGACGAAGGCAGTGCTGCGGCCGCCCGACGCCCAATGCGTTGCGTCACGGTCGTGTTGGTGACACCGCCGGCGACGCCAACAGCGCCGTGGCTTCGCTAGGCGAGGATTCCCGGCCACAGTGTGTCAGCAGGGCGTCGCGGACCCAGGCCAGGATCTCACGGCACTGCCTTCAGAGTCATAGACTTCCCCGAAAGGGCTCCTCGGGAAGTGAGCATGCGTAGTCGACGGCTTGGTGAAGGCGCCTTACCTGCACTTCCAGCGGGATCTGCGTGGTGCAGGCGACGTAGACCGTGCTGGGCTCCGGCGTGGCGGGGTGGCAGTGCTTGGCGGGCAGGTAGTGCACCGCCTGGCCGCGGTTCACGCACTCGCCCTTCACCGTCCTGCGGGCGGCAATTTAGAAATTTAAGATATTTCGACAACTTTGCGAGGCTGCTAGTGCGGGAAGCCGGACTTACGTGTAGTCGCTCTCGCGGCAGGCCGGGCAGGCCGCCTTGCTCTTCCACATGAAGTTGAAGTTGCAGCCGTCCGAGGTGCCGTCCGGCCACTGCGCGGGCAGCGTGATGGTGGAGTTGCCGTTCTCGGACGGGTCGCAGCGCAGCGTCAGCACGGCCGTGCGGCCCTTGGGGCACGAGCGCGTCGGCCTGCAGCACACAGGGTCAGTCGACGCCAAGACACCCCTCTCCCTCACCCACGGCCAACACTTACAGCGGCGTGGCGTAGAAGAAGTGGATGTCCTTGAAGTCGGGCTGCACGAACTCGTCGATGACCTTCATGTGCATGTAGGTGGTGTTGGAGGTGACGGCCAGCAGCTCGTCGCCCAGCGCCACGGACTGCGTCGAGAAGGTCTGCTCCTCACCGTCGCTGACGAGGTCCCCCTGGCCGCCGCCGATCGGGCCCTGGCCGGGGATCACGGTCGTCCTGGGGGCAGGGGCGACTGTGTTCAGGCTGTCTCTCTCGCACCGCCACGACGGGGTCCACGACGGCGTCCACGTGATCCCTACCTGCAGATGAAGGCGGCCACGTTGCCGGCCTCGGTGGCGCTGCTGTCGCCCACCGTGATGGTGTTGCTGCACTCGGCCGGCTCGCTGGTGCCGCAGAGGCTCATGTTGAACAGGTGGTAGTACTGCGCCCCCGAGGCCGTGAACAGCCGGCTGCCGTGCACCGCCACGGGCCTGCCGACAGAGAGGGCGTCTTGAGGGCTGCCGGAGTGCGAGCGAACGCCGCTCTGTCCCTGTCGGGTGTCCCGAAGGGGAGCGAGAGAGACAGAGCGACGAAAAACGCGATTAGGCCACTCACTTGTCCAGCGCGCGCAGGTCGTACGTGTAGTCGTCGATGTCGAACACGCAGTTGGTCTCGCAGCTGCCGCCGTTTTCGGCGTGCAGCCCCGGGCCGCAGGGCTGGCACGCGTCCTGGCCGAGCCTGGCCGCCACCAGGGGCTCCACCGCGGTGGTGTCTGGCGGGCAGAAGTGGCAGCCGGTGCCATTGGGCTCCATGTACTGGCCGGGCGGGCAGGGCAGGCAGCCCTCCGAGTCCGAGTCGTGGTGGCAAGGCAGGCAGGAGGCCGCGCCGCCGTCCACCGTGTTGGTCACGTTGATGAAGAAGATCTTGGCCATGTCGACGAAGCCGCGGCGCGCGCCGTCGTCGTCCACCCCCAGCCCCATGGCGCCGGCCACGGCGTCCACCGCGCCGGCCGGCCCGGAGCCCAGTTGCTGGAACGCCCAGCTGAACGTGTAGGAGTCGTTCTGCATGACGGCGTAGCTGTAGGTCTGCCGCGCCTGGCGCTGCGACCAGCTCTCCACCACCGTCATGCCCTTGGTGTCGCTCGTCTGCAGGAACACGAACTCGCACTCGGCGTTGCAGTCCAGCTCGAAGGAGAACTCGACGCGGCCCACCTCCAGGCGGCGCGCCGCCCCGCCGGCCGCCCCCGTGACGGTGACGCCGCCCTTGGAGCGGAAGCCGGCCACCGTGATGGACAGCAGCAGGTAGGCGCCGGAGGAGTGGTGCCTGGTGGTGTGGATGTAGGTGCCGGCCACCTGCCAGCCCGCGCCGCTCTGGCACGTCGAGCCTGCACCGACAAGGGAAACACAACGTGACTCGAAGGCTTATGCGCACGACGGGCACCCTCCGCCGTCGTCCTGCGCTTACCGTCGGGCTCCAGGCACGCGGCGCTCATGAAGGAGGGCAGCTCCACCCAGCGCGCCACCTGGATGCCGTAGTTGGGCGTGGAGCCGGGCGGGCAGGCGCGGCACGCCGTGTTGCCGTCGCTCCAGGACCCCCTGGGGCACGGCTCGCACGACGACCCGTTGCCGTAGTCCATGCCCGGGTTGCAGGGCGCGCACTGGCGGCGCGGCGACGGCAGCGGCAGCTGCTCAGCGCCGGGCAGGTCGTCGCGGCAGATCTTGGGGGCGATCCACTCGTAGACGCGCTGGGTCTGGGGGACCAAAACGAAAACAAGTGAGTATGCGAGGCAGAGCGCCCGACCAGCAGCGGGTAGGCCGTGCCGCAGCACAGCCCTGTTCGACGGGCTGGCCTACCCGCTCCATGCCAGGGGCTCCGCAAGAATCGTTTTACTGTCGGTTGCACAGAGTGGTGCACCTAGACGCTGACCTGCTTGTCGGCGTCGCAGGGCGTCCGCTTCTCGTAGTAGTCCTGTCTGCTGCAGGGCAGCCGCGGCCGGCACGACGGCGACCCCTTGGAGGCGTACTCGGTGACGGGGTTGCAGGCGCGGCAGCTGGAGGCCTCGGAGTCCGAGTACGTGTTCTCGGGGCACTCGGTGCAGAGCCGGGCGCCGCCCTCGCTGAAGGTGCCGGCGCGACAGGGCAGGCAGGGCGACGTCAGCGACACGCCTGGGGGAGGGTGGAAACATGAGCACCTCGGTTTTCGCTGTGGCTCTCACTCAGTTTGACCGGGGGACTTTCTCTCCTTACCGCTGATCTCTATGCTCTTGATGACCACGGGCCTGCTCTGGCCGTGGTCCATGCCCAGCGTCTTCCACTGCAGCACGTTCTGCCCCGTCAGCAGCCGCACCGTCTGCTTCTTCCACTCGCCCGCCTCGCGCGTGTACTGCGGCCAGCGGAACTCCTTGGAGTCGCGCAGGCTCTGGCATTGCGCGTTCTGGGCCTGCACACCGAACACCGTAGACAACAACAATAACAACGAAAATAACAACACCCCGAGAGAGCGCGGTGAATGCCCACCTCAAAGTCGAAGATGACGTCCTTGTCCGGGTACTGGTAGGTGTACGTCAGGTTGCCGGGCTTGACGAGGTGCACGTCGTAGGTGAGCGTGGCGGCGCACGGTCCGCCGAGCGAGGCGAGGTAGCCGCCGCGCGCCCTCCAGCCGAACCTGCGGCAGGCGAAGCATGCCAGTGACGTGGCGGGTGCAACAGTGGCGTGGCCAAGATAAGAGGCAAGCAGACTGAGGTACCCACTGGCTGCAGTCGATGTCGCCGGCGAGGCCGCGGTGCGTGGTGAACGAGGACCGGAACGTCTCCACCTGCGAGGTGAAGCCGTCGGGCAGCCGGTCCTGGAAGGACTCGAGCAGCACGCCGCCGCCCAGCGAGTACGTGCCGGGCCTGCACATGCGGCACGACAGGTCGCCCAGGTCGTAGTAGAAGCCCGCCTCGCAGGAGATGTCTGCAACACGCCAACACGCCGTGGAAGGTTCATCTTGCCGGTTCACTTTGTGTTTGTTTACGGTGGGCTACTCACGGCACTGCTCGATGCGACGCGCCGGCCGGGGGTTGTTGTCGGCGCAGCGGCCCGACCTGGGGACCTGCACCCGCCAGCGGCCGCGCTGCGAGTCGCACTCCGTCAGGGCGTACTCGTAGTCCATCTGGGGAGCAAACAAGGCGTGACGTCATCGACAACCTCGCTCGCGCACTTCGGGGTGGAGTGGGGGTGCTAGTGTAACCTGCCGGGCGCCGCCACCTTCCCCCTTCCCCCTCCCCTGGAGACGGTGACGCCCGCGCTGCGCCGAGGCAACCCCTCGCTGTCCAGCCTCATCTGCATCATCGGCCTGGAGAGCAGCGGAGTGCTTCCGACCGCCGCTTCCGTCTCCCCGTCTCTGTCGCACTCATGGCGCGTTCCGTGTGGGTGCGAGAGAGAGGAGCCTGGAGGGCGGTGAATAGCGGCCAATCACGGCGTCGGAGTGGCGGCAGGAGTGGCGGCACGCCAGGGCGCGTCGCGTCGCGTCAAGGCCGAGGGGAGGGGGGAAAGGAGGAAGGGTTGGCGGAGGGCAGGACTGCGTCTCGCTCTCATTAGACCGCCGGCTTTCACAGTTTGTCACTCTGGTTTTCCTGTTCACTGTCATCAACGGCGGAGCCATCGCTGAGACCCGATATTCCTGGTGTACTACCCCTGCGACTGCGGTCCTGTCTGTCAGAAAGGGGAAAAACAGCCTAAACGGGAAGAGGCTTCCTGTCCCTAATGCGCCCGGGACCATCTTGGTTGCCATGACAACAGGTTAGGCCTTCCAGCCTTCCAGTAGGGTGGCTGTGGCGAACGCCATGAGCAGGTGCCCTCCTGCTGCGGGGGCGAGCCAGGTTTAGGAGGGCCTCGTCCATGGCGGGGACGGGGGGAGGGGAGGGGTGGGGACTGTTGGGGTTAACACCTGTTAGCCAGACGACTGCCAAGACTGGGCTGGACACAAACACTACTCGGCCGTTCCGGCTGGGGTGAGACCCTCGACGGGGTCCTTTAGCGCGGTGCTGGCGGCAGCCAGGGTGCTGCTCTGCGCCGCTCGGCAGCAGCAGCTCTCGGGAAGACGCCTTGATGTTGACGGCGCGACCGCACGCCCGCTTACCTCCTTGCAGTTGAGGTCGTCGTCGTCGAAGCTGGATCGCGCCACGGCGCCGAGGGGGCTGCGCTGCGCCAGCAGCACGAGGCCGAGGGCGGCCAGGAACACGACGTTCATGGTGTTGACGGCGGCGCTCAGGGCACGGGGCTCAGGTCATGGATGCAGCATGTTGGTCGTCGGCTCGGGACCAACTCCGAAGCTGCTGTGTCGCTGGGCTCCGCACCCTACTAGCAGGCCCTGACGGCTGACTCCGAAAGGCACACCTGAAAGAGGCCCTTCTTCGCGCGGTGCGAGAGGGACGGCCTGCGTGACTTCGGACGAGACCGAGCCGCGCAGGGCGTGGCATAGTCCGTCGGCCGTGTGTGTGCCCGCGGTGGCGGGGCTGGGGCGCGGCGCGCACGGCGCGGGGGTGGCGGCAGCGCGGCCAAGGGGCACGGCGGCGGCAGGCGGACTGTGGCACCGTGCCGTGCGGGCCGGGGGACGCATGCGCCGCAGGCGCAGAGGCGCCCGGCCGCGGATCGATCGCGCTGACCTAGAGGACGATCAGCGCCGACGGGGTGGCTACAGCTTGAGCGGTACAACTTGCGCCACGCCTTCCTCCTTGAGCACGAGGAAGGTTAGGCGGCGCGGGCTGTAGTCGTTGGCCGGCGCTAATAGGCACGTGCGCCTTTGAACTTGACTGAGTCTCGAGTCCAGGGGAAGGGAAGGGGCACTGGGCAGCACGCACGGCCCGCGCGTGGCATGGCCCTCGCCACTGGAGGGAGTTCCAAAAGACAAATTTCGGGTGGCGCCATGTGACCGTGGGTGCAAAGAGTAGCACGACTGTTCAGTATTTTCCATGAACATGTTTCCTAGCCTTTGCCAGGTGGGAACAACTATTCACCATTCCCTCTGATTTGAAGTTATGAATGTGACGACATTTGAGTGTAAAAGAACAGAGAATGGTAATGAAAAAAAAAAGATTTATTATAACTTGACACAAACTAGAGTAACAGCCTTCAATGTACAGTATTAAAATATACAACTTTACTAAGGAATACTGAACATAAAAAAAAAAAGTTTTTTTTTAAAATGATCGGAAGGACATTGATAGAAATATTTAGCTCTTGAATAAAAAATACAGAGTAAAAAAAGATTGCAGGTAGCAGGCCCATGATATGTACAAAACAGGTATTTTGCTGTAGCAAAATTATACACACATAGGACACACAAAAAAGTCACTTAAAAATTAAGTTCAACACAACAGAAAGTAGAAACTCCACAAGTGATGTCTGATGACCGTATTATTCTGGATTCTTACATGTTACAGGCAGTTTAACCACAAAATGCAATACAAAACTACAGTACTCTGAAAGAGATATAAAAATATACAAGATTTTGCAGTCTTCACTAGTAGAAATAGTGGTATTAAACCACATTCCCAATGCATAAAATAATATTTACAAATAAAACAGGAAACCAATAACAAAGCTGTCCAGCAGAGAAGATAAAAAATTGTGAGGTATTAATATATGAATGACAATCAATGTCTTTGTTCCTGTTTCAATAAAATATTTTAAAGATCAAAAGCAATTTCATTATCTTATTGTCACAAAGATCAACTTATCCTATGTGTATCAAAGAGCCTCACTTTTGTAAAATTCCAATTCATTAATAAACCAGCAAAATTATGATAAATTAATCTCTCAACCTGGCAAGCAACATGTGAAGAAAACCAGAACACTGCCAACCAGTGTCAGACAACAGGTCTTACAGTTTGTTGACAAGCTCTGGGTAGAACTTCTTGCTGGGGTTGTTGGCATGGTCCTTAAGAAGCTGGCAAGGCTCAAACTCTAGACCATAGGCATTTCTGAACTCTTCCATCTTTCTTACAAGATTGGCGGCACCAAAGGAATCAACAAAGCGGAAGGGGCCTCCTCGGAATGGGGGGAATCCAAGTCCAAATACAGCACCAACATCTCCCTCAGTCTGAAACCATGTTTAAAATAAAAAATAAAATATGAAATAAATAATTGAAGCAACGAATGTTTTAGGTATCACTATACATACCGGGTTGCGAAGGATTTGCTCCTCCAAACACAGGACAGCCTCATTAACAAAGCGAGACACCATGCGCATCGTCTGATCTTCAGGAGTGAAAGAGCCTTGGGGCTTCAGGGAATGCTTACTGAATACTGCCACAGCCTCTGGGTTCACAGGCTTAGACTTGCCAGCGTTGTAAAGGAAAATTCCCTTGCCACTCTTACGACCTGCACAGAACACTTGATTAGCTATTGCGCCTGATTGAGAAAAGTACTCTCATTATTTCTCTGAATGTACCACCAACATACCAAGGCAACCCTTCTGCACAAGCTCTTTGATGAGAAGTGGGTTTCCACCACGTGCTCTCTCTCCAAGAGCCTTGCCCAAGTCTTCTGAAATGTGAGCGGCAACATCCAATCCAACCTCATCCATCAGTGTAGCTGCACCAACAGGGAAGCCAAATGCCTTGGTCAGTTTGTTCAAGACATCAGGCTCAACACCCTCCTGCAACACAAAGATCCCATAAGTCACAGAGATCAATCAAGAAAACAAAAAAAAAAACCTGAGGCATGTGGGCATGTAGCGAACCTGAGCCAAGCGGATAGCTTCAGCCATCATAAATGAAAGAATACGGGTGGTGTAGAAACCAGGTCCATCGCCAACAGAAATGACAACTTTGCCCTGTTTCAGTCCAACTGCCACAGCTTGAGCCACAGTTGATTCTGAAGTGTCCTTTGTCGTGATAATTTCAAGCAGCTGCATCTTATCGACTGGTGAGAAGTAATGCATTCCAACAACCTGTAATTAAAAATGGAAATGGTTATTTCTTCTCATGCAAATTAATACTCCAAAGTGAATTTTAATGTTACCTTATCAGGTCGCTTGCTGCCAGCAGCAATTTTAGAAATAGGGATGGCACTGGTATTTGTTGCAATAATACAGTTGGGCGGACAGACTGCTTCAATTTCAGAAATAACCTTGTGCTTAATCTTAATGTCCTCAAAAACTGCTTCAATTACTATGTCAGCATTTTTGAATGAATCGTAAGACAAGGTGGCATCCATGTTGGACAGAAGTCGGTCACGCTGGTAGCTGCAAAGAGAAACAAGAAATAAGCTTCAAATACAAATGAAACAATAAACACTGAGGGCAGGAAAGAAACCTACGCAGAGATCTTCTTGCGCTTGACAGCCTTATCCAAGCCACTACGGATTTGCTCCACACCGCGTGCAAGGCCAGCTTCATTTGTATCCTTCAAGATGCAGTTGTAACCCTTGTCAACAGTGACTTGAGCGATACCAGCTCCCATCAGACCAGCACCTAGCACTGCCACAGTCCTGGAAAAAAAAAAAAAAAGTTACGGCAAGAAATCTTTTAAAAACTGGAATGCTTGAAGGGCAGAAGATATATACTTGATGGGCTGCTCAGGAACTTTGAAGGGATTTTTCTTGCATTCGGTTTGTGCATTAAAAAGATTGAGGAGCTGCTTGCTTTCAGGTGTCATTGCTAACTCCCCAAATGTGTTTCGTTCGAATTCGAAGGCAGCGTGTTCACCCCTTTCAATATTTGTGCGAATTAACTCAATAATCTGCAAAAAGTGTACACTGTTAAGAAACATGCACCCTTTACTGAAAACTATGAAATAAGCTAGATCCCTCATAGCTTACCTTTAGAGGTGCTGGATAGTTTCCTCCTGTTGCGCGCATAACTGTTGATTTGGCCTTGTTGAGAACAAAATCACGAAGATATTGTACTCTAAGAGCGTTTGCTACAATTTTATCCATAAGACTACTCTTCCTCTCAATTTTCAAACTGCCCTTGGCAATATCAGCAGCAATCTTGATGGCAACTTCCTCAAGGTATTCACCAGTTCGGAAACTGTAAGGAAACGTTATCACAATGAAAATTCATGTACAATCTGTATGTTCCAATTATCTGCATCCAGAACAACATACGTGTCACCAAGTGGATCTACTACCAAATCCACAATGCCCATCTTCTTAGCCTTGTCAGCTCTGATCTGTTTACCAGTGAGAGCCAGATCCAAAACATTAGGGGCTTGGGTTAAACGCATCAAGCGAATTGTACCACCAGCACCAGGCAGCAAGCCCAACATGACTTCGGGCAGGCCTAGGGCAGTTTTGTTGTCCTTAAGAGCTATACGGTATTGACATGAAAGTGCCAGCTGTAACATTGAAATTTTTTTTTTCAAAATCTGAATTTAGAATGATTCCATGACGAGATTTGATTAGAATTGGACTGTACAAACCTCCAAGCCTCCTCCTAAGCAAGATCCAGAGATGGCAGCAACAATAGGCTTTGGCATATCCTCTATAGACTGCAGGATTTTCTGGGCATCGAGGGAAATTTGAGTCACCTCTTCCTTAGTTTGAGCGCTTTTCAACATTTTGAGATCAGCTCCAGCCACAAAACAGCCTGGCTTGCCGGAGATCAGGACACTGGCCTGAATAGCGGGGTCAGTCCTTATCTTTTGAAGAACATCCACAACTTCCTCCATGATTTCTTTGTTTAACGAGTTCACCTTAGATCGGAGAAGAAAAAGAAGGATTAGCTTAAAACAAATTGGTTTGATGAAATATTCAAAACCCTGTGTCATTGTCTATGTTGTACCTTCTGTCCAGGTGAATCAATTGTAACAACACAAACATTGTTCACTGTCTTGGTCTTCAGGTGAGCGTTCATCTCTGAAGTGAGGGAGAAAAACCGAGATGATTGGGATCCTGTCAAAACAAAACAAGCTATTGTTAAAGCACTTAGCACACTTCCAAAAAAAAATTAATAGTCAATCAAATGATGAGTTATGATATGTTGATGATTTTTTTATCAGTGTGCTGAGCAAAATAAAGATGGACTTTACCCCATGCTGCAGCAAAGGTACAAAGTTCAAGACTGCCAAGTTGCAATGAAGGTAGCCAGATTACATACAGAGTATGCCTTGCAAAGGAAGTTTCTTAACGAGTCGGGCAAGGGTTTAACTGCGCCACCGTAACAACGGTCCTCCCGGGAATGAAAGCTAGATTGTCATTCTGACATTCAATGAGTCGGGCGCCCCGACCGTCACGGCAGAGGCCACCCGGCTCGCCAAGGAGGCCCTCGCCCTGCACTGACGGACACACGGTGCGGGCGGGGGCAAGGCCAAGGGGGGACGTTCGGGCGGAATGAATGAACGGAAGACTGGCAGCGGCATGGCGACAAGGTTTTGGAGCCGGCCAGCCGAGGCCGCGGCCTGCAAGTACATCGCAGTGACAGTGAGGTTATCGGACACCGTCAGCGACATTGCAGCGGGGAAACATGCCCCGTCACGGCAAGCAAAGGGCAAGGGGTTTCGGACCGGTGGTGTTCAAAGACCGCAGAGGCGATCCCGACCTCGCACAGGGTGGCGCGGCCCACGAATCAATGGCAACAAGTGAAGTTACGACGGCACCCTTCGCCTTCGGCCGCGGCGCCCTGCCCCCCACAACAAGGTACTTACGGGGAAATTTGCGTCCGACGACGGAGAGGTCCTTGAACACGCGAGTCACAAGGAGGGCCGCCATAGTCAGGCGCGAGATCTCCGGCAAATTTGGGTGGAAACCGGTGTAACTTTGTGCTGGCGGACTTGTGCCGTCACTTGACTGATGGGAAAGTGATCAACGTCCACGGCAGTTCCCCCCGCACTGTCTCCTCCTCCCCCTTCCCCTCCCCTGACCTACGCGAAAGAAGAGGCAGCAGAAGAAAAGAAGAAGATGCCCCCGACACTGGCCTTCGTCGGCTGCTGCGGCCAATCAGAGACGTGTTTCGACGTCCGCCAAGTTCGGGAAGCACCATATTCTTCTTCTTGTTGTTCTGAGACACTACTACCACTTCACACCTTCAGTGAGGGATAATCTTTTTATCCAGTGTACATGAGTTTAGTCTCTGTCTCGAACGACTTTGTCTATGTTAGGTGCGTTTGTAGTGGTGTAACACCTCTTCAACTCTCAACACTGTCGTACCTGGTACTGAGGAGCTTTGTTTACCTTCTTTAGGTTGGCACTACTGCGCTTGAAAAGCCGCGCCACTGTTTGAATGCGAGCGCAAGCACAACACCGATCCAGCAGCCCCTCAAGTGCACATGATAAGTCTTCAATAAAAGTGGCCTTTGGAAACTTTCTCAACTGGCTGCAGCGTGTCTTCACGTGCGCTACGCGTAACTTTCAAGCCAAAAAGTAATGAAAAATGGGATTCTCACCTCAAGCCAGTACCGCCACCATCGATTAAGCGATATAAACAATTTAGGAGGATGCGTGCCACTCAGAGTGCGATTCACGAACAGCTGCCTCAAGTACCGGCTTATGGGCGTTAGCTGACAGGGCATTTTTGAAACGCATTCTTGCATGCGTAAGCAGTGTGGCGGAGCCGGACGGGTCGAACCCTCCGTTTCCCCCTTTTCTTTTCCTTCGACTCCCTCAAATAATCCTTGCCCGTCTCGGCTGTCAGGCTGTCAGCTTAAGGCCCCTTACGTAACTCTCATTTCCGTCCAAGGGGGGCATCGCGTGGATGGCGTTCCGAGACGTGATGACCTTTTCTTGAGTAAGAACCATTTATCAGCGTGTTTTCCCCATGAATTTTGAGGCTTCCCTTAAATTTTTGTGCTTTAGCGTCGTCTTTCGCCCTTGCGTTGTGTACCGTGAACGTGGATGCGGGTCTGCACGCATGTGTGTGTTTGGGGAGTAGGTGTATGTGTGTGTGTTTGTGTGTGAGTGTATGTGTGTGTACTAATGGGGAACGGGGGTCCTGTCAACAGTGACCGCAACTTCTTCTGCCTCCTGCTTTAAGTTTACTGTCGAATTTAGTTGAAGAGAAAACTGAAACGCCTTAAGTCAATTCACCTGCTCAATTTTTCGACGTAGATGCTTTAAGTTGCCTTCTATGTCCTGAGTGAGTTGTTGTACCTTCAACTTTGAGTATCATAACCTAAACTTGTCACCTTATTGCTGGTTGACAAAGCAATGTAAGGTATTTTGTGCTTCCATCTGCTTGTGTCAACGTTCGTGCAATGAATGAACCATAAAATGACAGTAATTATAAATTATCTTTATTTATGATTGCTAAATCTGACATGACCTTGTATGAAAATATTGAAATTTCAAATCAAGTGACAATTTCCCGTTCCTTTTGTCTTATCTTAAGTGACTAAAATTATCTAACCCTATGGTTGTGTGTATCTTCTTTCTTTCGTTTCAGATTAGTGTGCTATAAGTTCGGAGGATGGCGTCCATTAAAGTTCCGAAGCAAAAAGTGATCCTGTGTGGGGAATTCGGTGTGGGGAAAAGCTCCCTCTTCAGACGTTATACAAACAATACATTTGTTACTGCAAGTGACAGGCAGTCAACTTTAGGTCTTGATCATTATGATAAGGAATATAGTGTGGCTGGAAGGCAAATCCGAGTAAGTATTTGTGGTAATTCATACTGAAGACTAAATTCTGCATTTCTTTGACCTGAGTGATTTTTCTTTTTCAATCTAGCTTCAGCTTTGGGATACAGGTGGAATGGAGAGAGTCGCCTCAATAACATCAAGCTATTATAAATTTGCTGAAGCAGCAGTTCTTGTTTTCTCATTGGACAATGCAGCTTCATTCCATGTGCTTAGTCAACACTTGCTGGATATTGTTACTTATGCTGAAAATGCCAAAATATTTCTTTGTGGAAATAAATCAGATTTGGAAGGTAGCACACCTCAAGTAACAGATGCTGATATGGAATCATTCTGGTAAGTTCATTCAATAATAGTAACTTTATGTAAAATTTTGAAATTAAAAAAAAAATGTTAACGGTTTCTTTTACTGCGTTTACAGTGAGCAGTGCCATAATTTGATTAGTGCCACGTTCAAAACGTCATGTAGATCAGGAGAAGGGGTTCATGAAATGTTTGAAGAAATAGCCCAGCATCTGGTCGAAGCAAATCGCTCTCGTTTGGAACTGCAGAGTATCCATGACGCTGAGTCCTTTAAAGTCCTCCCACCAGATGAGTCAACTGACCCTCCTTGCCTGTGTTGATAACTCAATGATGTAATACTTTTAACAACCCTTCTGTGATCACATGAATACCTCATGCAATTCAAGTTTGAAGGGACACTGTTTTCTTGGATCTGTAAGGTGTGCCAGGGACATTAACAGCCGGCAGATCCATAGAAATGACTAATGAGTGAAGGAAGCACTGCTTTTGTGATGACACTCCTGCCATATTTTTGTGTTTTTTGTATGGTGATTGGTGTTTATTATGTTTTGACCTCCTTTTTATTGGTTTTAAAAAGGATAGATAGCTTGTACGTCATTTTAAAATCAAATTTTTACTTGGAGTTTGAACCATACAAGAATAGTCTTTTCAAAGCTGACTAGTTAGACCCACCATAATTTCTACATATTTTGACACTTTTGAATTTTTTATGTAGGGTTTGAGGGTCAATTCTTTTTTTTTTTTTTTTTGACATATCAGGCGTGTTTTACGTTCTAGATGATGTTTTGGTTTTGCACATTTGTTCTTTCAAATGTCTGAAGGGGAAAAGGTCCTGTCATCCCTTGCTGCATTCTGTCCATTGATTAAATTTGTGCACTTTTCGTGTTTCCCATACTATCACTGGGGCAGAACTGAAACTGTGGGTAATTTTACATAAGAAAAATTAATGCCAACAGGTGCATTACTACTAAAAATGTATTAATCCAATAAAATTTTCAATGCCGTATAAAACCAACAGCATTCCTAAAATACACTTCAGTATTTCATACAGTAAAAAGAACAAATAAGGCTTTACATCTTTGACATAACCATACTTCATTGTATCACAAACTAATAGCACCTGGATATGATAGTTCACACATTAATTTTGTCCTGTATGTACTTTAATTTATATCATCGAACAAACAATTATGAAATAGAAACCAGCTGATGCGAAATTGTTTTTACTTTTATTTATTTTGTGGGATAAGTCAATCTCCCAAATTAATTTGAAAGCTTTGTGAGTGTAAAGCCTAGGTAGAGTTGAGAGTAGACTTAAATTACGCTTGTTTGAACTCAATTTCATCTGATGACTAGTGCTGAGACCACTGGATTGACTTGATGTCAATTCCTTCTTGGTGCATCTCCCAGAGAGGGCTGTAAAATAAAATGGTGATTAACCAAAGCTTTCCATATGTTGTCTGTTCTCATTTTCAAACTATCAAGACATTCTGGAAAACTCACCTCATTTCTCTTAACCTTTCCACATGCTTTATTACCCGTTGAGCTGTGTATTCAACCTCTTCCATTGTGGTAAATCTTCCAAAGCCAAATCTGTCAAACAAAAAAAAATACTCGATGAAAAAAAAATCAACTATAATTAGAACCTAGAACAAAGCTAAGGACATTACCTGATTGAAGAATGAGCAAGATCTTCATCAGCTCCAATCGCTCGCAAGACATAAGATGGTTCTAGAGATGCAGAGGTGCAGGCACTTCCACTCGAAAGGGCAACATCTTTTAAAGCCATGAGTAGTGATTCTCCTGAGAAAATAAGGAGTTTAATAAAACTTTGTGAAGGTAAGTGGGGTTGAAAAAGATGTGATGAAATGTGGACAGGACTAACACACCTTCAACAAACGCAAAGGACAGATTGATGCAGCCTGGATAAGAGTGTTGCACGTCTCCATTACGTATAACCTCGGGAATTGACGTAAGCCTTTGCAAAAGATGATTTGAAAGGGTTTCCATCCACATGTGATCATACTGAAAACAAAAGTAATTTATCAGAACCAGTTAAAAAGCTTTTTCCAGAGCCTATGTTTGTCTTGTTTAGTTTTCAAGGACGCCTACCTTCATTTCCCTTTGAGCAATGGCACATGCCTCCCCGAGACCAACAGCAAGAGCAGTGGGTACAGTGCCACTGCGCATTCCTCTCTCCTGGCCACCTCCACTCTGGAGAGGCTCGATTCGAACTCGAGGTCGACGGCGAATGTATAGAGCTCCAACACCTAAAAGAAGGAGAAAAAAGTACATGCAATTTTATATCACAAATGGCAAGAAAAAATGAAAGGAAAAGATGTTGGATTATTTTTCTCACCTTTGGGCCCATAAACTTTGTGCCCACTTATTGACATGAGGTCAATATTCATTTCTTGAACATTGATAGGGATTTTACCGATTGCCTGGGCAGCATCAGTATGGAAAAAAACTTTCTTTGATTTACACAATTTACCTGTATAGACAGAGGTAGGACATTAACATACAAGTATCTTGTTATGAAATAAATATTTAGGATATGTTGTAGAGTTAGACAGGCTCACTCACCGATTTCTGCAATAGGTTGCTTTACACCGATTTCATTATTTACAGTCATTATGGACACTAAAGATGTATCTGGCCTGATGGATGCTTCCAGCTGATTCATGTCGACAAGACCCGTCTTGGTTACAGGTAGGTAGGTGACTTCAAATCCCTCTCCTTCAAGAGCTCGGCATGAATCAAGCACACACTTGTGCTCCTGGAAGAAGCGGTTTTGTAGAAACACAGACTTCCCACACAGCTGTCAGGAATATTTGATGAGAGCTGATACGTACAGTTTGTGTGGTGATAACATGCTTCTTGCTGCGACCATAAAACCTAGCAACTCCTTTGACAGATATATTGTTTGACTCTGTAGCTCCTGATGTGAAAATAATTTCTTTTGGATCACTTCCTATTAAATCAGCTACTTGCTGTGGGTAGAAAATTAGCATTAAGTAGCTGTAGGGTAGTCAGGACAATGAAGTAGTACGAAACAAAACTTACTTTTCTGGCTACTTCAACAGCTTTCTCACTTTCCCAACCATAAGCATGGGTTCTTGAATGAGGGTTACCATAGCATGATGTCAAATACGGCAGCATAGAATCAAGCACTCTCGGGTCCTGCAATCAAAATGAATAATGTTAGAAGCTGTCATTCATTACACTTAGATTAAAAGATCTCAAGCAACGTACTAAAGGGGTTGTCGCCTGTGCATCCAAATAAAGGGGCCTTCCTTCGATGTCTACTTGAACAGTGGGATCTGCCAGGAAGATATCAGAAAATCTCAGTGATTAGAAGCACTATGTGCAAATAAGTTCATGTAACACAGGCTCAAACAATATTCCAAAACCTTACCTTTTACGGACGATTCCCTCCGCTGTGAATTACCTAACGTTATAAATGCAGCAGGTGTGAAAACTGGAATGTTTGGCTTTGATAGGAGGGCCCCATAACCCTTCACCCGAAATAAAGGATTAGATGCGTGGACTCTACCCACAGTAACAACGCTGTTCAGTGACCTAAACATGATTCAACGGGCGGTTGGGGCGCGTTTCTTCGCAATGGTACACAAATATCTTGATTTCTCTCAGGCGTTGCACAATATTTCTCAAGAAGCCGCTGCCGCTGGTTTTCTTCAGGTTGCCATATTTTGTTCCCGTCCCGTCAATGTGAATGTGGTGCTGCGTGCTGGTCGATCAAACACACATTCACGTTCACGTCTGTGCTGTCGGATGTGTTGCCTAGTTCGCAGGCGGCCGGCTGACTTAGGCTGATTCCGAAGTTCTATCGTCGCTGTCTCTTTCGCACTCTCGGACCGTACGGTTGCGAGAGAGACAGCGCGACGAAATTGTCTTCGGAATCGTCGAAACTCGCGATGAAGGCGTCGGTCAAGCTTCACATGGCCAGGCAGGCTCATCCAGGATTCTACGACGACGGCACTGTACTCCGACAAGTGGCTGGCAATTAGAACATCTCTGCCATATGCCCGTAGGTGCCTCAGTGCCGGGCGGAAAAGTGACGTAACCATCTGTCGAGGCAAGCCCATCGAAAAGTTACATTCGCAGACGAAAAGTGTGAACCCAGGGGACCAGGATGGCTAGGACGCCCCTGCCTTTCAAACGATGGATCGCGCGCATGGAAGCAAGTTGGGTGGCCTACGCGCAACCGCGCGGGCGCTCAGCGACGCCGCGGCTTTCCCTAGGAACCAGCTTCAATTTTGTCTCCAGAAATAAAAGAAGAAGAATCGGCCGGCATGTGACCGAAAGAGTCGAGCGATGTGGCAATGTGTGACCACACACACAGAAGTGCTGAAGCGTTGGCGATGAATCTTTGAAACAATGCCTCGTTACGAACAGCGGGCGACTTTTAAAGCTTTTGAAGCGCGCGCGGCGGCCACCGCCGGGAAGTGGCTCGGCTTCCGTTTTCCGAGGAAGGAAATAGAAACGGATTAATCTGCCTCATCGCTTGATGGGTGGATGGTCACAACGTCTGTCTGGGGCCGCAACGTCGAGGCCCAGCAAGGACGCCGTGCTGTCCACAGTTTTGGCGGGCACCCGTCTTACACGTCGCTGAGGCTGGCTGCGGCCTGTAGCGCCTGTGAGGTAGGCCTCCGCCCCGCCCCGCGACACGCCGGAGTGGAGACGGAGGTCTACCTTGCCCCTGTGAGGCGACGGCGTTAAGGTAGGCCTCCGTCTCCACACCGGTGTGTTGCGGGACGGGACGGTGGCCTACCTCACAGGCGCTACACCGGCAAAGACAAAACAGCAGTCCAGACAAATGGTCTAATGGGCTTTCGAAGCCGAAACGTTACTCTACTCTCAATCCGCTGCCCGGAGGAGGCCGCCGACATTAAGCATTCCAAGGAGTGACAATTTTCGGCCTTCAAACTTTTTTTTTTGCTGATCTTCGGCAGCGGATTTGCAGTGGTGTGGCAGCCTCAGCAAGGAGTCTCAGGGAAAGTCGTCATTCGGCATTAACGGCCAAATTTGTTTACGTCGAGTGGCGGCGCGACGGCCGGCCACGGCTGGCCCGGCGTGGCGCGCGCACTCAGTCACTGGGTCATGCTCATTGGCTCCATCGTGGTTCGCGGGGCGCTGACGGACAGACAGGCGGACGGACAGGCAGACAGACAGACAGACGTCCCGCATGCAGTAGCCCCTCGCGCACACACTGTAGGAGCGGCGAGGGAAGTCCACGGCGCGCTGGGGCTGCAGGGCGGCGCCGACTGCCGACGCACGCGGCCACGCGGGTAACGAGTCCAATCACCATCTGCAATCGGAATGACGATTCGGATCTGCCGAAAACGAAGGTAAAAGGCGTAAAACAGCGGCGCGGGACATAAAACCGGGCGGCGCGGGGCGGGGTGGGGGTCGCTCGGTTTCGGACGATGCGTCTGGCCCCGGCGTGCCGCCTTTGGCAGCCAGGAGGCCACACAGTGCTGCTGCTGCTGGCCACCCGAAAAAATGAATATGGATCGAGTCGCGAGGGAACGACTCGAACGACACCGAAACCGATTCAGGCGGGTGGGGTCGTCACCTTGGTGACGCAGTGACGCAACGGGTACCCGGCCGTACCCGGCTGCCCGCCGACTAGGTACCCGAAACGAACAGAGCCGGGTACTTCCAAAGTTCCAAAGCGGCGTGAAGCACGGCGACAATGGGAGACGAATTGGAACCGGATGCCGCGGCACGTCCGAACCGAACCGAGTCGAACCGAACGGCGAGGCGGGCGAGGCGAGGCGCCACCGCCTTGCTTTATCTGCCGCGAAGATGCCCAAGGCTTTGGGCGTTTTGGAATTTTGAACGGCGACGGCCTTGGCGGCCTTGCCGGCCTCGCGCGTGGACGGCCGCCGCGACTTGTAGTGTAGGGCGCGGCCCCGCGGCCGGAGGGAGGAGGCGCGGCAAACACGCAGATCCTTTGTGCTTTTCAAACCTTTGTCCGAGGGGGAAATTCGCGGGGAAAAGCGACGAGTGCACGGCGAAGCGTCCGCGAGGCCGCGCGCGCCGTTTGGTTTGATGCACGGGGTGAACGTGGACGCCCTCCCCCTGCTCGCCCTGCTTGGCCTGCTTGACGGCCGCACCGCGAGCCGCACCGCGACCAATCCGGCCGATCCGTGCGGCGCGCCGCATTTGCATACAGTGGAGTGGCTGCACGGTGCGGCACGCCAGGCTAGTCAACCCTGCAGGCCGAGGGAAGCGAAGGGGCTGCCCGCCCGCCCACTGGAAAACACACGCCAAAACCCTAGAAAACTTAGTAATTGCCCACCTTGTAATCGAATCAACTTGGCGGAATGTCACTGTGGCGTGGTTTCTTTTCGCTATTTTCAAACTGCGCGAAAAAAATTAAAATAAATAAAAAAATCTCATTTAACGAACGTTAATGAAAGCAGATGATCCGTCGCGTTTCACAACTGCTGTGATAGCCGAGAGGTTAGAGACGTGGGATCGAGTTACCGCAGGCGGGCGTTCGAATACCAGCGTCACATACGTTTTTTCGACTTACTATCCTAAGGGTGGTGGTTCGAGGCCATCCGAGCGGAGCCGTGTGCAACAGACCCACATGCCGGAGGTTCGACTCCTAACAAATATTTCCATTTAATTTTACTGCCTCACCCAGTGCGGTTGAAACCCGTGAACGTGAGCCCACTCCGTGCATGGGACGTGGTGGTCCAGGGAGTAGAGGCGTCGGTTCCCAATGATGGTGTCGGCGGTTCGACTCCCCCAACTTCTTGCGAAATTTTGACCGGGTCGGTCGAGTCCTGTTGCGTCAAGAACCCACCTCACGCCGGTCCCCTCACCATGGGCCGTGGTGGCCGAGAGCGTAAAGTTGTGTGATCCCGATGGCGGGGTCCGGGGATCGAATCCCATCATTTCATTACATTTTTCGACCGCCTTCCTCCCAGTGCAACTCAAACCCGTCGTCCAACACGCTGCCAGACGTACAAGCGTGATAGCGTAGTGGTCAGAGTCACATTCACCTGGCCACTCCGCTGTGGGTGTCTAAAAAGCAATCCGCTTCGGCGGGTTGGCCTCGGCACTGGAGCGATGGAGTATTTGATCCATCAATCCAGACCATCCGGTGTGTGGTTGCGGGTGGTGCCTCCTTGACTCGTCGGGGAGGCGATGATAAGTCCTTTGAAGCTGGCCTAAAACGCTGTATGTTCGGTACGGGAGCGCCGGACAGTGGGGGTACCATGGGGTACACAACCAACCCTACGAAAACAAGAAGCTCCCACCAAACCTCTTCTCTGTCTGAGTCTCTCTCTGTCTCTCTGTCGTCTCACTCTACGTCCCGCCCCTCAAAGAGCTTCGTACTGGGTGCTCTCACCCAGCTGCCTGAGCTTTGGGGTCCTACTGGGTCCCCCGGCGAACGCTTGGGTCGCTGACGGGATTAACCCCAGGTACCTGATAGCACCGGTTCCCATCCCGAACACCGAAGTAAAGCAGGAGGCCTCCCCATTAAGACTGGGGAGGGGGTGTAGAGTTCAAATTTTTTTCTTTTCCCTTTCAAATTTCTCAGTCAATACTCGTTCGGTTTCCTTATACGGGGTAGTATGCGGGCTCATTCCAAAGATAGTAATTAAAATTGTGTATGAAACAAAAAAATTGGGTCGAGGCAGGGTAGAAACCCGGAATGCATTTTTGTTATCGCGTAATCCGTTGGCAAAGCCGTGCAACGTTTAAAACGCCAAACAACAAGTACGAAGCGAATACGGGTCCGAGAGTGTGAGGCGAGCCGCCGCGCCTAATCCTCCACTCGGCAATCCGCCGCTCCGAGGCCCGGTGCGGCGGTGCGGCCCAATTTGCAGTTTCGTTCCGAAACTCGGCGCCGCTGTCTCTCTCGCACCGCTGCGGCCTACCGGCCCGGCCCGCGAGTGAGAGAGAGACGGCGACAGAGCGGAATCCGCCCACCGCAGCGCGGCCCGCGGCCCGGCTCGGACCGGATTACGGTGTGGGTACCCGGGTTCATTCGGATAAGCGGACAGAGATAGCGTCCATGTCCTGCGCACGGGGCCGCCTGTGCGACAGAGACACCTTGTTTTGCTCGCGACGCCGTTTTACGGCCAATAAGAGTAATCTCAAATTTTTACGAGGAAGGCTCCGCCATGGCTTCGCCGCTTCGCCCTTGGGAGCGTTGAACGCGTCCATCCGGTTGGAACCGAATCGTCGCGCCGCCTAGCCGAATACAGTCACTGTCACACTCTGGGACGTCCCCGTCAACCGGTTTGCCTGTCACGTGCCTCGTTATTATCACGCGTTCCCGACCCGGACCGACGGCACGGCGTGGCCTGATGGAGGCGGTGGCCCTGCAGCGGAGCGCCAAGCGGAGCGGTGACACATTTGCACAACTTCCGAGTCCGAGAAACACTCTTTCGCCGAGGTGCGACGCGACGCGATGTGACGCGATGCGTCGGCGATCAGACGCGATACGGCGACGGGGAGGGGTTTGGCGCGGCGGCGCGGCGGGGACGGCGGCCGCCACCGCGGAGGCCGGCACCCGCGTCACGGAGTGCGTTCGTGTGCGTGCGCGCGAACGTGAAAACTGTCACATTGCGGTCATCGGTGTAAACAAGAAAAAATTTGTGTTTTTTGTTTTCTCAATAAAAAGAATGCGGATGACAGGAAGAGGCTACAAAACGCGCAAACAAAAAAAGAAGGGGCTTCGGGATATAAAACTGCTTTTCCGGTCTGCCTGTTGCCGTGGCGCATCCCGAAATGCGGAGCGCCGCGATGGCGTCAGTTTCTTTGACCCAGTCCGGAAAAAGGTGGTCGTTGGACAAAAAACTGGGTGTCTGTCGTTGGTGCGACCTTTTTTGGGCAACCTCGCCGAATTTCCCCCGACCATGAGTAGGACGGCCTTGTGGTCTTGGGCTGGAGAAATGCTCTTGGAGAAATGCTCTCGGGTAGAAGAATTTCTTTCGAGTTCTCGTTCCGGTTCTCTTCCTCGTCCGTTGCATCCGGTGCAGACGTCCACCTTCGCTAACGAGGGGTCTCGTCGCAGGCAGGGCGGGGCGGGGCGGGGCGGGGCGGGGCCTCCGCGGCCATGGCGGGGTGCAGCCTGGTGAGGTCCAGTCGGGCCCAAGACAACGCAGCCTCCGAACATGACCACACGACCCGAGAGCCTTTGCGTGGCATTGCGTAGCGCGCTCGGCGCAAAAAACAACAGCATTTCCATTTTTATTTTAGGTAAAATAAAAAAAAAGCAGCGTATAAAAAAAAATTGGAAGAAATTGTTGAACTTGGCGTAGGTAGATTGTGTCGGTGAATTTCAAAGCGCCTTGAATAAATTTTCGGTATAGTCAGATTTGAAATTTCGTGAATTCCGTATTTACTTTTCGTAAGCTGTTGACGAATTTTCATGGAATTTCGTGTCGAACTTTGAAACCGGACAGCGGATTGTGCTGACCATGTTCTCAATTTTCACGAGTCACCGTCGATGCACCTCGCCGTGGCACTCACTGCCGGTCGGTGCAGTGCGCGCAGTGCGCGCTGAACCGGAACACCGTTAGTTATATGGTCGATTGGTCAGACCGTGGCGGAACCAAGTAGCCACTTCTCATTACGAAGAGTCGCTTTGTTCTTTTTGTGAACATTAAATAAACGCCTGGACGTTGATTGTTTTACCTCTCCGAGTCCACTCCGCTTGCCAGCGTGGAAAAGAGTGAAGGCCACTTATCGAAAAGTTGGCAGCTAGGAAGCTGATCCTTGGCAGGGCTTGGCTGGCGCTTCAATGTGAGGCGGTTTCTCTGTCTCTCTCTGTCTCGGGTTGCCCAATTGAATCAGTCTGCAGTCCTGTCTGGCCATTCGGCGACGTCGCATGCTTCGCACCGTCGTCCAGTCGGCGGTACTTCTTCATCTACTCCCCCTCCCCTCCCCCCGCCCCAACCCCCCACCCCTCATAGGGAAAGGGTGGGGGGCACGCATGTTTTGATTGAGTCGACGGCGGCCTGATTCCGCACATCGTTGTCGGCGCTCTGTCTCTCTCGCACTCACTCGGCGTCCCGTATGGGTGCGAGAGAGACGGAGCGAGGCCATGCGGCTTTATCAGTCCGCCGTTTTTGTCCTTCCAGCCGACGCGACGGCGTTCGAATCCAAAGATACGAAATCTCCCCCACTCTCCAGCCCCCCCCCCCCTCCCCGCCGCGGGGGAAGGCCACCACCGCGACGCGGGCCCCACATAAAAACGTACGCGCGAAGGGATCGTAAAATTTGCATTTGATACTTATTCGGTTTTCAGCCACCGGCCGGCCGGCGTCCAGGCGCTCGGCTCGGCGACGCACCCAACCTGTCGCCTGCAGTCTGGCGCACTGACAGTCGCTCTGTCTCTCTCGCACCTATAGGGGACGCCCCGTGGGTGCGAGAGAGACGGAGCGTCGGAAACGACTCTCGGAATCAGTCTGCTGGTATGTACTCCTCGGCGCCTCTCTTCGGGCCTTCGGGCCTTCGGGACTTCGGGCGCGAGGGAGAAGAGAGAAAGAGGAAAAAGAGACTAGATGCAACACGGACTGTGTTAACGACCTGTCAACCTTCCGCGTAAAAACAGCGGTAATCCACTGAAGACCACTTTTTTTCGCGAGGGGACGCGCGTGTGTGTAAAAGCGGCGGTTTCGTATGGAATAAAAGAGAGAATAAAATTTAAGGCTCGGAAAGCGGCAACTGATGCAAGTTTTGTAATACAAAGAAAATGAAGGCAATTTAAAATCCGCGAAGAAATACTTTGCATTGCAAAGGACATTTAAAAAAAAATCCTCAATGACATCCGTTTTTTGTCGTTTTGAGAAGCAGACTCTTCGTAGATTTTTAAGCGTGTATGGCTCGTCGTGTCCTTTTGTCACCGTTCACGATAGGCCACAAAAATGTGTCCTGCTTTTTTTCGCAGCCAAACTTTCCGTGCGTCGCGAGTCTCCCTCAGGGACGACACTGGGCATCGCGGCGACGGGGACGCCCTCTTGTTTGGACGCCACTTCGCGCGGCAACCCCCGGAAAGCGTTCGAAAACGACTCGAAAAAGGCGGTCTCCGTCTCTGCCGCACTCGCGGCGGACTGAAAAAGAGGCCATCCCGGACGCAGCTCACTAGGTCGAAGCCGCTGAAAAATTTCTGAGCCCGGCTTCAGTGCACTGCGATCACAGTCTGACGTCCCAACGGCTCCGTCGCTCTGTCTCTCTCGCACGCTTGCGGCCGCCGCCGTGAGTGCGAGAGAGACAGAAGCGCTGCAGCCGCGTCGCGATTCGCCTCCAGTTATCCCAGCATCGATCCGGCCGCGGCCCCGCATGGCCCCGCATGGCGTCCACTTACCATGACAAATTTAAAGTGATCTCGAAAGTAGCGGACGCGGGACGCGGCGGGCCGACCGGCCAATCGGCACTCGGGGGACTGCCGCGTCGCTCTGTCTCTCTCGCTCCACCACGGGCCGCCCCATGAGTGCGACAGAGAGAGAGAGACAGAGCCGAGCGGCCGCAGAAAAATCGTGTTTTGGACCGACTTTAAGCAGCCGCGGCGTCTGATCCGAGTCGATATTTCGTCCTCCCTCAACGGGCAATTGGTCTTTGGACCTTCCTTTAGCATGCCTTTTTTACGGAGTGCGATTATCTGCCTTAGATTGGGAGCAGTATTGCCGCAAAATTGATCAAAACGGTCACAAATGTCTTTGAAAAATCGTGTTTTGGGCCGACTTTAAGCAGCCACGGCGTCTGATCCGAGGCGGTATGTCGTCCTCCCTCAACGGGCAATTGGTCTTTGGACCTTCCTTTAGCATGCCTTTTTTACGGAGTGCGACTATCTGCCTTAGATTGGGAGCAGTATTGCCGCAAAGTTGATCAAAATGGGCACAACGCTTTTTCAAAGACATTTGTGACCGTTTTATCAACTTTGAGACAATTCTGCTCCCGAACTAAGGCTGACAATCGCACTCCGTAACAAAGGCATGCTAAAGGAAGGTCCAAAGACCAATTGCCCGTTGAGGGAGGACGACATACCGCCTCGGATCAGACGCCGTGGCTGCTTAAAGTCGGTCCAAAACACGATTTTTCAAAGACATTTGTGACCGTTTTGGTCAACTTTGCGGCAATACTGCTCCCAAACTAAGGCAGATAATCGCACTCCGTAACAAAGGCATGCTAAAGGAAGGTCCAAAGACCAATTGCCCGTTGAGGGAGGACGACATACCGCCTCGGATCAGACGCAGTGGCTGCTTAAAGTCGGCCCAAAACACGTTTTTTTTTGGTGGCCATTCGAAACGCGACCGGTTTGACTATTCATTTTTTGAGAGTGCGCCTCGATTCCCGCAATTAAGGCGCTTACTGCTTTTACGACGCGCCGATAGCGCTGCTGCGACAGAGTTGCCGGAACGCCAAATTCTTCCGCGATTCAACGCGCCGAATCCGCAGCCGGCCTGGCAGGGCCCGCACTGTAAAATTTGTTTTCGTAGTCGAAGTCCTCTAGCAGGACCTGGCAGGGCCAATCACGCAGTGCATTCTTGTTGTACAGTGCCCTTCCAGGAATGGGAGGACATCATGTGAAAACGCAAATCGCCTTTCTGGCGTTTCAACTTTAGGTTTTGTTTTTTTGGCACTGGTTGCTGTCAGAGGGTAAAATTGTTTCCCATAATTCTGTGCGTACCTCATCCTACATTGTGAGCATGTCCCCCCCCCCTTTTCCCCCTGCCACTTCCCATCGGCCCCATCCGATCCCATCCCTCCCTTCTTCATCCGAAATGCACGTTCCGCCGGACCGTACTGTACGTGGCGGGGCGGGGCGGGGCGGGGGGGCGGGGCGGGGCGGGGCGGGGCGGGGCGGGCGTGAGTCCATGGGCCGTGGGCCTTACCGGCTACTCCGCTCCACTCAGTCAGTCCACTGACTTGCTGGCGACACGCCACGCCACGCCACGCCCGTCGCCGGCTAAGCTCCGCGACGGACACCGTGAGGAAGCACGCGCCTGGATGCAAACGCCGACAGTGTAGTGGAGCAGTGTAGTGCACCGTAGCGGCTTGCAGTGGCGCGACGGTCAGCCAGAGGCGTAGTGACTGCGTGCGTCGGTGCAGTGCCTGCAGTGCCTGCAGCGCCCAGCGGCCGCCCTTGCAGTGCAGGCGGCGGAGCCCTGCCACCGCCAGCGCCGGCCCTGCAGCGCCTGCAACGCCTGCAACGCATGGATACCACGGCCAGCCCAACGGCCAGCTTGTCGCTGTCCCCGCCCGAGGTGAGTGCAACAGTGCATCAGTGCAGCGGGGAAGGCCGATATAGTAAACTACCAACATGCAAAAAACAAAAACAAGCCACACACAAAAAAGCAAAGGAAACGGCTGACAAAATGGTGATGTGTTTCTTGGAAAATCGCTGCAACATTTGTTGCCACTGTGTTCCGGCGATGTCAGCCCATCATGATGAATTATTTTTCACGAAATCGATCCCCGTATTCCTTTGAGTCGGGGCGCCGCGCGGCCAAGGTCCTGTAGATGGGCCGAGAGGTCCGTCACCGCGTGCTAGACCGCTTCCTGGACTCCGTCCTAGACCACGTCCTGGAGCACGTCCTGGACGGTCGCGATTCCTTTTGATTCCCGAGTGGACGCTTCGTGGTGGTCTTTTGTTTTGAGAGCCTCCTCCACTAAGTCCTCCACATACTGTCTGGACTAGCATTCCCGCGACGTTCTGAGTCTGAGTCCAGCAGCAGTGGCCGGGCCAAGCGTTCCTCCAGAGCGCCGCGTCGTCCCCCCCCCCCTCCCCCATCCCCCCGCGCCAGTCACTACTTCAAATGGCCTGCATTGCCCGCTCTCAAACGGTCACTTTGTGGTAAAAAAAGAGGGGAGGCGCGAGCCTAACAGCCAGAAAAAAAAATGGAGTCGAAGATGCGTCACTACTTGAACAAGTTCCGCACCAGGTGCCCCGCGCAAGTAAATGACGTGGTGGTTGATCCGGTGACGATTTTGCGAAGTTGCACGCACCGCACGTGGGGCTGCCTCATGCATCGGTTCATCGGGCCGCTCGTTTTGTCAGAATGAAGAGAAAGATTACGCAGAGCCCGCGGATGCCGCGCGGCCGCGGTGCGAGCGAGCCAGAGCGAGCCAGAGCGAGGCAGAGCGAGAGGGCGCCTCAGCGCCTGCGACGGCCGGGGCGGGCCGTGCCGCCAGACACCCCTGCGTGGCGGGGCGGCCTACCCCCGACTCCACAGGCGCTCGGCTCGGCTCCGCACGTCCCGCCGGCGATGCCGCCACACTGATTCCGAACAGTGCTTCGCCTCTCCGTCTCTCTCGCACTCGCGGGTCCGGCCGCAGGGGTGCGAGGGAGACGGGGCGAGCCCTTGACACCTGGTCCCGCCGCGCTCGTTAAGGAGCCCGCCATAATTGAGAGCCCGCCGGAGACTGCGGAGGCCGATGCCGAAGAACCGCGCCGTCTCTCTCACGCCCCGACGCCGCGCCCCGCGAGCGCAACGGAGACCGAGCGGATCCCCAATCGCGAGGCGACATTGTCGCCGGGTGCCAAACGGCGTCGCCGACGACGACCCGGGTGGCCCCGCGAACGCCCCCGACGAACCGGCCCTTTTGTTGTCCTTGTTTTCGTTTCAACGTTGCTGTTTGGCGTGTACGCTGTTTAACGTGACGGTAATTGCCGGTCCAGGCTTACAGTGCAGCGCCCTCCGAGCCGTCGAGCCGTCGAGGAGCTTGTCGGGGGCGCCGCCACCGGCCGCCGCCACCGCCGCCACCCGCGCCGCGGCCACGCCCCTCCCTGCCCCGCCCGCGTGTCCCCTTGGCCGTCACGGCCGTGCTAATCATGGCCGGGCGGGGCGTGTTCGGCGTGCCGTCTGCGTGCCGTCGGCGTGCCCGCGCCGGCAGCACGCGCCCGCGAGGGCAGGACGATTCAGGGGCAGGGCGGCCACGCGGCCACGCGGCCACGCCTGCAGTCGGGAAAGAAACAACAACAACAACGAAAAAGGACTTTACTTCTAATTACCGGGGCAGCGACACCAGGCAGCGAGGCGGCGAGGCACTCCGCGTGGAACCAGCGGAACGGACGCTGCGATCACGCAGAGCAATGCGCTGCCGAGCTGCCGAGGGGACGCTCAAAAAACAACAACTTTTGCTCCAGGTTATTGTTGTTGTTATTGGAACGCCGAGTCCTTTGCCGATGGTGGCGGTCTCCTGACCTTTGCCGCGGCGCCGCCGGTCGGCGGGTCGCTTCCGGACTACGCCGCTCGCATGCAGAGCGACTCCGATTGGCCACGGCCTATTCTGTTCATCGCGACGCCACGGACACGCGGCGTTCTGCGACGCCGCCGCGACGCCACCCAGGCTCGGACTGGCCCCCAAAAGGCCCCAGCGGATAAGACCGCGAAAGGCCCCCGATCATCATTATGTTTTTACCCTTCATGACCAACTTTGTGAGGCTACCGCTCCCAAACTAAATGCGGTCAATAGCCTTCCCGATACAGGGCATGAAAGAGTAGGGTCTTAAGAATACTAGGGCGTCGAGGGAGGCCTTTTACGGCGACTAGATTGGACACAGTGGCCGCCCAAAGTCAGCAAAATCAGCAAATTTCCGAAATTCGACCACTTTTTGACCAACTTGGTCGGAAAATCGTTGCGGTCAAAGCCAAAATCGTTGTGGTCAACGTCTTCCGGATACAGGGCTTGAAAGAGTAGGGTCTTAAGAATACTAGGGCGTCGAGGGAGGCCTTTTACGGCAACTAGATTGGACACAGTGGCCGCCCAAAGTCAGCAAAATCAGCAAATTTCCGAAATTCGACCACTTTTTGACCAACTTGGTCGAAAAATCGCTGCGGTCAAAGCCAAAATCGTTGTGGTCAACGTCTTCCGGATACAGGGCTTGAAAGAGTAGGGTCTGAAGAATACTAGGGCGTCGAGGGAGGCCTTTTACGGCAACTAGATTGGACACAGTGGCCGCCCAAAGTCAGCAAAATCAGCAAATTTCCGAAATTCGACCACTTTTTGACCAACTTGGTCGGAAAATCGTTGCGGTCAAAGCCAAAATCGTTGTGGTCAACGTCTTCCAGATACAGGGCTTGAAAGAGTAGGGTCTTAAGAATACTAGGACGTCGAGGGAGGCCTTTTACGGCGACTTGATTGGACACAGTGGCCGCCCAAAGTCAGCAAAATCAGCAAATTTCCGAAATTCGACCACTTTTTGACCAACTTGGTCGGAAAATCGTTGCGGTCAAAGCCAAAATCGTTGTGGTCAACGTCTTCCCGATACAGGGCTTGAAAGAGTAGGGTCTTAAGAATACTAGGACGTCGAGGGAGGCCTTTTACGGCGACTTGATTGGACACAGTGGCCGCCCAAAGTCAGCAAAATCAGCAAATTTCCGAAATTCGACCACTTTTTGACCAACTTGGTCGAAAAATCGCTGCGGTCAAAGCCAAAATCGTTGTGGTCAACGTCTTCCAGATACAGGGCTTGAAAGAGTAGGGTCTTAAGAATACTAGGACGTCGAGGGAGGCCTTTTACGGCGACTTGATTGGACACCGTGGCCGCCCAAAGTCAGCAAAATCAGCAAATTTCCGAAATTCGACCACTTTTTGACCAACTTGGTCGGAAAATCGTTGCGGTCAAAGCCAAAATCGTTGTGGTCAACGTCTTCCGGATACAGGGCATGAAAGAGTAGGGCCTTAAGAATACTAGGACGCCGTGAAGCTCCCCGACGACGCCATGAAGCTCCCCGACGACGCCGCGGGCCGTGTCGACCGGCCTGCGCGCTGCGCGCTGCGTGCGCCGCCAGAGCGGCAAAACGACGCGAAATAATGATAGGGCTGCTGCTGCCGCGTCCGCAGCGGCGCAGCACTATCTCTCCGCGGCCTCGGCGGAACTAACTTTGACCCTTTGAGGACGTCGCCGAAACCGAAAAGGGACAAAGTGACACTCGTGTAAAGGACTAAACATAAAACTATGAAACGCGCTGGGGAAAGGACACTCGTCGGGCGCTCATCGGCCCTGACTTTTTCTCTAAATTACTATTTCTTGCAAAAATGGCTGCAGTCGTTGCCTGGACCCCGTTACGTGTTTTATGGACGGCCCCCGGCGTGCCCCAGTGCGTGGGCGTAGGTGCGAGATGGCATGACCATTCACTTGTAGGGCGAGATGCAGACAGATGGACGCTGGACGGACCGACGGACGTAATTGCCAGCCCCACTTCCGCCCCGTAGTGTCGCTACAGTGTCGCTACAGTGTCACTACAGTGTCACTTTTGCCTACTTCTGTGTCACTTCTGTGTCACTTCTGTGTCACTTCTGTGTGACCTGTTTGACTTCTGTGTCACTAGTGAGTCACTTGAGTGTCACTAATGTGTCACGCCAAAGTGTTTCTAAACAAGTCAGGCGGACGCTCCGCAAAAAAAAAATTGGCGACAGTGTAATCGGATCCGCAGGCTGGATACGAAGTGCCGCTCTGTCTCTGTCGCACTCTTGGGGCGTGACGCAGGGGTGCGACAGAGACCGAGCGACTGTTCGGAATGGCTGGGCTGGCGGCATTCAAACCACTTGCCTGCCACCGCGGTGGCCCTGCCGCCGCCTGCTGCCCTGCTGGACTGTGCTTTTGCCCTGGCCGAGCCTGCCTCAACGCCCCCCCCCCCCCTCCTCGGCACCCAGTTTAGCCAATGGCCGTACAGTACGCCGGGCGACCTCTGGCCGCCCACTGCACATCCCAGAGCACTGTAAGGCACTGCCGCCACTGTAAGCCACTGCCCGATAAACGCTAATAAACGGTCCCCGTGACGTGCCGCGCCAGCCGGGCAAGCAGGGCAAGCAGGGAGGGCACAGTGGGCCAGAAGACCGGTGGAGGCGGCCAAAATTCTAGACGCGTTTTGAGCTCCAGAATCGCTTGATGGGTCTCGAACCGAGCGTGTGACCCCACCAATGGATTGCTCTCCGAACGAGGAATCCATTGGTGGGGTCACACGTTCGGTTCGAGTCCCATTTAGCGACTCTGGAGCTCAAAACGCGTCTAGAGTTTTGGCCGCCTCCACCGGTCTTCTGGCCCACTGTGCGGCGCTCCCTTTTGTGGGCAAACGGGCGGCAGCAAAAAGCGTGAAAAGTAATTAATGCTCTGGACGCGCGCGGCAGCACGCGCCGGACTGCCCGACGCGCCTCGAGTGCGAGAGAGACGGGGCGCTCTTTTTGCCGCCCTCACGTGTCCGCGAGGTGCAGCGCATTGCGACACGTGGAGCGCCGCGCCGCATTGCCTTTGACAGCT